TCAATGCACATTCAAGAGGATGAAGGATCCACGAATTCTCCTGGAAGTCGAAGTGCCGTTCCATAAACGAGTTGAGCTGCAGTGTATCGAATGTCAACTTTCACTGCATTGTGAATACCTAGTAAGACGGTTGGAAGAGCGTTGGTCCACAGTGAAACGTTTGCAGCTGATAGTGAAGCTTTAAGTTGTCGGTTAAAGCGTTCTACCAACCCGTTTGCTTGTGAGTGGTAGGCAGTCGTTCGGAAGCGAGTGATTCCTAATAGTGTGGCCAGATAACAGAAAAGTCCAGATTCGAACTGGCGTCCACTATCTGTAGTGATGGTTGAAGGACAGCCGAGGTTTGCTACGCATCGTCCGACAAGGGCATGGTCTACTAGTTCGGAAGTAATGTCCTTGATAGATACTGCTTCTGGCCATTGAGTGAAACGGTATGCGCAGGTTAAGAGGTAAAAGTATCTACTTGAATCCAGTAGAGGTCCTACCAAATCCAGATGAACATGGTCTAAACGAGCATCGGGAGTTTTGAATGAGCCCAAGGGATATTTGTTGTGTCCAATCACCTTAGATTTCTGTCAGCTTACACAAGAACGTCCCCACTCACTAATATCTTTATTCATACTAGGCCAGCGAAACCGTTCTGCTATAAGCTTGATGACTGCACGTACACCTGTATGAGGAAGTTTGCGCAACGCATTGAAGACGTTACATCGATAATGTTTCCGCACGATTGGGTGATCCTTACCTATACGTGTGTCACATGGTAAGGTTTCCTCACCTGCTCCCATCTGTATAATGCACAGTTTAAGTTTTGTTCAGGATAAATCGTGCTGAAGTTCAGTGCCTTCTTTTTGAAGCTGGGCGAAGTTCAGAAGGTCGATACTTTGGAAACTGTTCAAGGAAGTTATGCGAGACAAAGCGTCTGCGATTACATTGTTTGCTTCAGAAATGTGTTGAATATCTGAAGTAAACTGAGAATTGTGTCCGGTTGTCGAGGCTCTTGAGGGGAGTACTTGTCTAAAAATGAATCTAAAGAGAAGGTATGGAGTTCATGATCAGTGAAAAGAGTGAAATCTCGGCCTTCATTTGAGTGTTGAAAATGTCGTACAGCACAATACATAGCAAGGAGTTTCCTACCGTAAGTGCTGTACCTCGACTCACTGTCTAGAAATCGTCTCGAGAAAAATGCCAAAGGTTTCAGAGACTGGTTAACCCACTGTTGTAAGACTCCCCCGATTGCTGAGTCGGATGCGTCTACTGCGATACTAGTGTGTGCTTGAGTGTCCTGATGTGCGAGCATGATTGCCTTTGCGATAAGTCCCTTAACTGTGGAGGGTGCTTGACGCGGTGTATTGTCCAGACTAATGGATTTCCCATTTCCATGAAATTAGTCAGTTAGATGTTTCATAAGTGACTCGCATTTTGGTATAAAACGTCTATAGAAACTTACTAGGCCGTCAAATGTGCGTAATTGCTTAATGATGGTAGGTTTTTGTAATCCAGAATGGCCGCCACTTTGCTTCTTAAAGGTCAGATGCCTTACGCATCAATAGTGTGTCCTAAGGAAAACAAAAATTCGGTTCCGATTCGGCGTTTCTGAATGTTTATGGTAACGCGACGCTTTTGCAGTCGATTGAAAACAAGGTCCAGATGCTGGAGATGAGATTATCTGTCTGGACTTTCCATCAAGCAGTCATCGACATGCCCATGTACGAAGTTGAGACCTCGAAAAACGTCATCTATGAACCTTTGGAAAGTTTGGGCAGCGTTTCATAAACCAAGAGGTATTCGCAAAATTTCGTCGAGTCCGGAGGGAGTTGTGATAGAGGTTTTCGGAATATCATCAGTAGCCATAGGGATTTGGTTATATGCTTTAATCAAGTCGATTTTCGGAAAGACAGTTGTACCTTTCAAGGTAGCCGAGTGAGGCAACTGGTAACGATGAGGAATGATTTTTGCATCCAATCATCGATAGTCACCAGCTGGACGCCGATCGTTCTGTAGTCGTGATGTGATGTTTAACATTAATGGTTACACACGGCAATTTTGGTTGCTGCTGGTATATCCTAGAATACTTATCGAGTAATGGTTGATAGAATGGATCTACCGTGTGTGTTAATGTGGCAGGAGATAATCTGCAACCGGAAAAAGAAGTTGCGCAAACAGATATATTAGTGTTCCCATCTACTAGCCTCCGTTTGCGCGTATCGATGAATAGATTTTGGTGTTGTAGGAGGTCTATAGCAATGATTGGAATGGAATCCTCTGCAACAACAAAGATCCAGTGAATGGGTTTGCGTAAACCCATGTTAAGGTAAACGTACCCTTTACCTCATGTGTCGATTGGCATTCCGTTTGCCGCCTGTAGGTTAAAACCGATTCGTGAAGCCGGTCGACAGAATTCGCTGCAAGAACGCTAACTTCTGCGCCAGTATCGACGAGGTAGCGAACTTTCGTGATTACATCTGTGACATATAGCAGACGGCTATGTTTGCCGGCTACGGTTGCCATTAACACGTGCCGGCTGGGAAGTTTCTTCAATTACTTTTCGTGTCGGTCGATGTTGAGTTGGGAAAATTGCAGGGTTTTCTGCAACTTCTGGACGGCTTTCCATACTGGTTATTATATCAGCACCAGTCGGTGTTATCGGTCTCGTGAAGTGCTTCTTCGCGGGTTTCGTGACCGTTTAGGGTCATTACAAAATCTGATATAACATGTAGGCCTATGATATAGTTCCGTAACTTTATTCGGAGTCGCTCGAGGCATTTCTTTGACTGAAAAAACCTCGACGTTAGAAGGTTTCGTGATTTCTAGGATGCGGTCAGCAGATGCAACCAGCTCGTCTACGGCGTTGTTTTGAAGCAAGACCAGTACAGCTTGCACCTGTTGAGGAAGTTTGGATAAGAATAGTTGTCTGAATAGGGCATCATCGAAAGTTATTTGGCCGACAACCTCTCTCATTCTTAGCATCATGTCCGTCGCAGAACTGTGTTTCAGGTCGATGTTATTAAGGAGTTGGTTTAACCTTTGTCGATCGGTTAGATCTCCGCGTTTAAGGATAGATGGTTTATATGTTTCGTAGGGTTCAGAGACATCACTAATAAACATGCCAGGTGTTACGTACTTGGTGAATTCGCACGGTAGTGCCTTGACTACTGCGAGAAATTGTGCACGTGTGTCGTTCACGCCGTGGTCATAGAAGTCGATCTCTGCATAACAGAACCAGGCTTCGATGTTGTCTGGCCAGAAGGACATTAGATGAAAGGAAGGTGGGGACATAGTCTTCAACTTGAGTACCTTAAGTGTCTAATCCGTCGTAGCGAAATATCAAGTACAAGGATGTACGGAGAAAAATATACATATATACAAAAACACGGGAAAAATATCACAATACATAAAAATTATGCAGCAATAAAAATAAAGCGAAACTGTTGTTGAACATCGTATCTCCATGTAATGTTACTAGCCTTCGCAAAAGCCTTTGATACATTACCTAATGCAGTTTTCATAGTGAAAGTTACAAAGATGAGATTCAATAATCGACTCTTATTTTGGCTCTTAAACTACCTAAAGAACGGGTAGTGGTAGTAGTAGTAGTAGTAATAGTAGTAGTAAGGTAAATAAAGTGCACACGAGTTGGAAGGTCTCAGCATCATAAATTTCGCAAGTGACAATTTACGTCTCTCCGCTGTTTTTGATTTTTATTAACAACCTGTTTGATATAATTCGATCGGCGTTAATGATCTACGAGGACAACACAGTGATATAGAGGTCTACAAAATGTGGAAAGAATTCACTTGAGCTTCAAAAGGACCTTAATACAATAGTACAGTATGATGAAAACCTAACTTGTTGATATGTCTTGTCATGAACGTTTTTCTTCATTTGACACAAGTCTCCTACAACCTCCATGCAAATCCGCTCCTGATTATCTCCTCGGAGAGTGGACTTGAAAGCAGCTCAAACTACATTTCGGTTGTAACCAAGACCAACTCAACTCTCCAATTAAGGCGAAGACAACTTGGCGCAATCACCCGAGTCGTTCCTATCTTTAAAATGTACCCACGGCCTCACCTTGGGGTCTACAATGTCATTGCTCCCTCTCTCTTCAAAGGAAACAAGTCCATTAAACCAAGTACAGAGACGTTAAACCAAGTGAAAGACAGAGCTAAAATACGAAGCCTATGAAGGTAAATTCCAAAAACTGAAACTGTTCTCTCTGAGCTATCGGAGGATAAGAGTTGACCAAAAAATGAAATATAACATTTGAGACATGACAACCCATCAAACCCGAGCATTTGACGAGAATATTACCGCCACACTCCTCGAGACAACTCACGGCAGGTTGCATATCAGAGAATGAACATCAAAGCACGCCCCCACTTTTTCCCATTACGAGTTGCCCCCATTTCGAATGCTCTTCCAGACAAAGTTATCACAGCCCCATCAGTGGATAGCCTTGAGAAGAAACTTGACAAATACGTACTCACCCATAGATTACTATCACCTTCCTGAACCAACTATGTCCAAAGCATGTCTCATAAATTACCACGATTGTCATTACCACATATCAGTAAATACTTCTCACCCCAATGATTATCATCGCCGTTTCCCTTCTTGTTCGTTTAATTCCGTTTTCGTCAACATTACCAATTAATTAGTTAACTTATTTAATTGGTTGTTGAAACAGTCCTCTTCTCTTAGCACTTGAATTATCGCTTTATTATTTTCACATTGCAACCAATCAACCTCTTCCCTAGTAATGTGGTAGTTTCTGATACCAACAAAACCCTGCTGTTCTGAGACAAGCGTACTCACTCAAACTACAATATATACAAATCCATAAATAACTACCAAATTGACTAGAATTAGAGCCACCGTGCAGTTAGACTACCATCCACTAGACATTATCGAATACTTAAAGCCGTGCCGAAATAACAAGAGGTGAGTGCAAAGAAATCAATTAGTTTTTACAAGATCGTCACAAATATATTAGTGATACTGGAGATTCTGCGCATAGTTTGGAAAGTGCGTTACTCAACAGGGCGACTGCATATGTATTATATTCTATCGGTTTCAACATATGATCACCAGTTTTGCTTATAATGGTTGAATATTACTGAATCTTGGGACAAGATTTACTAGTTTGGGTGGATTCTTGGAAAATAATCCGTAGTCTTGTAAATCGACAATTAACGTAAAGTGACATGACACCATGATTCATGCAGTTCTACGAATTATAAAGATTGAAATAAACATCTCATAGAATATTCGACTTTGAATTCATACAGTCGTTTCACTTAGCACTTATATTCTAGAATATGATTGATTCTAGCTAGGATCATTAGTTTAAGTAGTTAACATCCCTGTATAAACTAATAGCTACTAATCCTAACTCTATTTTCATTCCAATCCGTCTCGTTGTATAATCTAAAGATACTCTATGTCTTATTTGTGGTCGGTCCTAACTCCTTAGCTATCTGGTATTATTCTTGTTGTTACTTACGAGGACTATAGTTTTGATTCTTAAGTGAAGCAATCTAAATTTATCATGATAACATATATCTATAGTTATATAATTATGTAAATAAAATCTAAATATTAACTGTATTGCCTCAGAATCTCGTCTATTGTTCCTGGGTTTAATGAGCGAACAACCATATTGAGGAGTGAAGTGCTATGGTTTGGTTTTAAATGCCCTAGAACTTGTTAACTGTTTATGTGGAAAATGTTAACATGCCAAACTTTATTGTTTCTGGTTGCAAACTTAGCTGTTTTATTATTAACAAACGACGTTTTGTCATTAGAAATAATAAACAAATATATCAGGCCATTTCTGGTCTTCTTTTGAAAATTTAAGCATGAACTGTTAGTTGCGTTGGGACGTCTGCTTTATTTTGCGTGTACTTTTGTTATCTTCACATTAATTAGATACCAGGGAATTTTCAGTTGACATTATTTGATCGCTTGTTATCTTCGTGTTTAGCCTTTGTACTGTAATAGTGTTATCAAAATGTTGATATCACATACAGGTAGAAATTGTATTTCCTTGTCTGAGAAAGTCTTGTGGTCAGTCAGCAATAGTCAGAGAGGAGAAAATATACCATGTCTTTACTTGAATGGAAATCGTAGGTTCACATATTAGGCCTCAACCAAATATATTCAAGGGCAGCAAGTTTTATGTTCCTACATATATAAATGAATAAAATAAAGACCTTTTAAGAATGCAGTCGTTGATGTACATAGGTACTGTGCTAGAGTACTCAGACTACGTAGTTTTATTTGGTAAAAAGATAATAAAATACAGTCTTCTGATCGCCTTTAACAACAGTGCAATCATTATTATTATTAATTTATTTTAACACATAGATGTTGGTACAAGATGGCACCAAGTACATATGCGCCACACAAATCTCATTTGATATGTGTGAGGACTGTGATACTGACCGGGTGCCCAAACTGAAGCAGCTGGTTTCCTTAGGAGGCCACATCCGGAGCCTTCGATCTGAAGGTCTGATTCACAATGCAGTGGAACAACGTTAGGAGATGCTGTACATTTGTAGATGGTGACCAACGATCGGTTCATACGCTATTTGTTCCTTCAGGATCCTGGAGCCAGCCCATGTGCACCATTGGTTTGGAATCAGGGTTTTCCAACTCCCCTAGGTGTATACTCCATATCCACTAACTTGGTTAATGCATCGGACATTCACTTTCCGTCCTCTCAATTTCGTAAACAATACCCCTGCCACGAGAAGGCGATAAGTAGAACTTCCCTGGTAGAGGCTATATACGTGTGTCCATGTGAGAGCATTTCGAGAGGTAGAGCGAACTCTCTCCACTCTTGGCCGTACCAGGGTATTTGGGGGCAGTGCAATCATGTTTTGGCTCCGTCTCTCTTTCTCTGAATTTTAAGTGCTCCAACGATATCGATGATATGATGGAAAGAAAAATCCATTTTCGATTGATTTACTCATTGTGAGTTTCATTCAACATTACATCCATTCTAATTCAATGTGATGATCATTCACTGTAGCAATTGTTTTCTTTTCTCGTATGATATTTTATTCTGTATAATATACGATATTCTTGTATTCCATGGACACAAACTATGCTCAGTCTGTTATTTGTTATAACTCTAAGTATGTTTCATATATGTGATTTAATCCTAATTATTAATCAAAAATGGGTGTAAAATCAACATATAAACCAGTGTATTTTAGACTTTTGATCATCGTTGTCGTCGTGCTTTGGGGCTAATAAATCTTCACTTATACCAGTCTTGTGTTCTTACTTCCGCATCGTGGGAATTTCAGGGGTCCCTCGTTCCGAGTATAAGTGATCAGCGATTTTCTGGCACAACAATTGCGACGACCAAATACAACAATCGAGGTTAGACATAACCAGGCTTAAATCGGAAGTTGCTTAATAAAGACGCTTATGTTTTTTAACTGAAGTGCTTGAGGCATATGCTTAATCATCGCGTACTCTAATAATGGTGAGTGAAGTCCGAGAAGATTGTAAAAAGCTTAAGCATACCCAATGTAAGATGTGGCATGAGCCCGCGGTCACTGACAGTTCATCTTAGCCGCGTCCGTTGGTGTACATTACTTAGCTAGGGTCCACTCCGTAAACATGATCAGTGGTTAAAAACGTTAGGCGACGACTCTAAATTATTTGGAGTAGCCCAGATTCATTTGTTATTTATACTCCTCTTGATTTTAGGTTTCAACATTCCAATACTTTTTGTTTCGCCTGTTTTCGAACCACATTTTTGCATTTGTCTCCTTTTTATCATCAACACAATTACTATTTTCTCGATGCTTTGATTGTTATCAATTTTATCTCTGTACTAATTATCTTATGTGATTGTAATTTGATACATATCTGTGCTGCGTCCTACATTAATTATGACTAACTGATAACCTAAAATCGAGTACCTAAATTATCATAGAAAATCGCCACTGTGGCAGCCTACAATAACTGATATTAAACAAGCCAATAGTGTCTCAGCTTTAATACTTTTAACTAATTATGATCACGAACTGTCTAGTTTATGCCAAAAGCTGTGTCATTACAACTTATTCTGTATGAAATAAACTAGCAAATGTTTGGTGGTTAGAGGTATTTGACGGGAAACAAGGTTGGGGTTCCTACGTGGAGTATAAATTCCCTTAAAATGGAAGGTACGCTTTACTGACAAGTGCCTATTAGCACAGAACGTAGGCTCAGGTTTTTTGTTCTGCAATATATATATCACATTTGTTTCGTAACAACCTACCATAAATAGTTAATTGAACTGTGGTAGGCAGTATAAAATGTTAACATATATTCCTTCTCTAAAGACATCTAGACTGTTGGATCAGCGAATTCTCAAGTCATCATTATTCATTCATATAATGTAACTCATGCCCCCAAATGCCCTGGTACGGCCAAGAATGGAGAGAGTTCGCTCTACCTCTCGAAATGCTCTCACATGGACACGCGTATATAGCCTCTACCAGGAAAGTTCTACTTATCGCCTTCTCGTGGCAGGGGTATTGTTTACGAAATTGAGAGGACGGAAAGTGAATGTCCGACGCATTAACCAAGTTGGTGGATATGGAGTATACACTTAGGGGAGTTGGAAAACCCTGATCGTTGGTCACCGGCTACCACGAGATTGCATCTCCTAACGTTGTTCCACTGCATTATGAATCAGACCTTCAGATTGAACGCTCCGGGTGTGGCCCCCTAAGGAAACCAGCTGCTTCAGTTTGGGCACCCGGTCAGTATCACAGCCCTCACCCATATAAAATGAGATTTGTGTAGCGCATATGTATTTGGTCCTTCTTTGTACCAATATCTATGTGTTAAAATACATAAATAATAAATGTAACTCACAGACAATTTACCAATTTAATGCATCTCATAATATAAACGATCCATCGAATTTATTCAGTTTGTTTTCTACACTTTTTTCAATGATTTATTTGTACCTAACTTTTGACATGTCAACATTTTCCCGATAGTAACAAAAAGCATACTTTATCTCTTCATTTAGATTATTTTGCAAATTACCTGTGTTCAAGTACAAATTTCATAATTATGTATTCATATATATACCCATGCATATGTTTATTTATGCACTAATGTTTAATGAAAGTAAAAAATGAATGATGGACGATTATCAACAGTTAAAAAGTAAATATGAAAGATTATGTGTGGAATTCAAAAAGGTTTGTTGTTTTTCATATTGTTTACATCAAATTGTCTACTTTTGCAGCTTCGTTCAAAGTATAAAACGTTAAAAGACAATGAAAATGAATTAAACCAACAACTGCAGGTAAGTATTCGTGTGTAACTTTTTCCTTTAGTTGTATCATTTATGTAATATTCGATAACTTTGAAGTTATCAAAATGTTCCAATCAAGAGTTCAGATAATGGATTGATCTCAGACAAACATTCGAAACTAGGAAGCACTAAACAACTGTTTCATCCTTATATAAAGCTTCTTGACAATCCCCACCCATCATCTGATCAATGACTAAACCCAGGACGTCCATGTCCCGCGACGAGCGCTTAGCATTTAGAACACTTATTCTGTATTCACTGGTTCACGTGTCTAGTCTTAATAAATTCCTTATTTTGGGCAACCCCCAATCCCACTGGTAGGTAACTGCTTCAAACTTCATATGCTGTTCATGAGTTCTCACTAAAACTTCGGAAGTTATTTCTTAGCATGTATTACTGTCAAGCACCTGCCAATGAACATGAAGGCTCTGGGTTCGAGCTTTAGTGAGGTAGGTGCAGGCTATCAAGGAGTCCTATAATAAGATACAACAGCTATCCAGCGTCATATAGTTTTAATTGGATATTTTAATTTATTTCTTTAGACACATAAACATTGGTACTGGAAGGCACCAAATACATATGGACCACACAAATCGAATGATTTGTGTGAGAACTGAAATATTGCCCGAGCGCCCAAACCGAAGCAGGTGGTTTTCTCAGGAGATCACACCACGAGCCTTTGACCTAAAGGTCTAATCCACAAAGCAGTGAAACAATGTCAAGAGATGTAATCCCATAGTAACCGGAATTAAGTTCATACGCTATTTGTTCCTTCAAGATACTTGAGCCCATTTGCATCATTGGTTTAGAATCAGGGTTTTCCAACTCTCCTAGGTGGATCCTTGATATCCACCAACCCGGTTAAAGTGTTGGATATTCTCTTTTCGTTTTGTCAATTTCGTAAACAACAGTAATGCTAAGAGAAGACAGTGAGTAGGACTTCCATGACAGTGACAGTGGCGAGCTAACTAACATTGGATTATTATTATTATTATTATTATTATTATTATTATTATTATTATTATATGCATACAACTTATTCATTATTCATTATTTTCTTTTAAAATTTAATAAAATATATAGGAGAAACTAATACAAAAAGATTTATATATTGAAAAATTAAAACAAGAAATTGAACAATTAAAATTAAACAATCATAATATTTCTATTAATGGGCTTACATATGAAAATTCAACGAAATTATCATTATTATTAAATAATATTAACAAGAATAATGATCATTCAAGTCTTATCGATACTGTCAATGTAAATGAAGTGGCAAAGAAATCTATCATTACTCAGGTTAGTAATATGTGGTGCTTTTTTGTTAAGAAAAAGTTTGTTTTTTTTTGGTTCAAATATGTGAAGCTTCCAAATGGCTCAGTACGATCGAGAATGGAAAGAATCAGCTTTTGTTCTCGAAATGCTTTCAAGTGATCATGTGCATACAACCACTACCAGGGAAGTGTTAATCATTGTCTTCTCGTGGCGGAGGTGTTGTTTACGAAATTAAAAGGACGAAAAGCGAATGTCCGACACTTTAACCGTGTTGGTGGATACGGATAGTCCATTTAGGGGAGTGAACCCTGAGCTCGTTTACAATGGTGCAGGTGCATCCACTCTTTGTGTTCTCCCAAATTCTAATCTTCTGAATTCTTTATGTCCCTTTTTTCCCTCTTTCGAAATTTATTTCAGTAGATTATACTCCTTGAATAACATCTTCAAACCCTAGTGTTTCCGATTACTGCTTATACTCTTACTACCTCTACCACTACGGGATTTGAATCGACAACTGCATCTCTGTGCTAATGTGGTATGGGAACTCGAACTGATGTACATACGTACGTAGTTCTATGTTGTTACTGACTGAATGAAACCCTGAGCTCCAGGATCATGACGGAATAAATGGTGTACGAAGCAATTATTGGTCACTGGTTGCCATGAGACTGCATCTCCTGACGTTGCTCCACTGTCTTGTGGATTAGACCTTGTTATAGCCCGAAGCCGCCAATCAGAAGAAGCGAATTATCGATTGGACCAAGGACGCGTAAAACACGTGCGAGAAGCCTAGAGTCCTGGTTGGTCCTGCTTTCCGCCTAGCCCAGCCAGTTAAGTCCAGAACACCAATCTCAGCCTCTGCAATATGAATCATATCTCAAACATACTGAGTTTATATACCAATCAGACAGACCACAACGTACCAATAAAATATGAAACAACATTTGTACAAGAATTAGCCATATGTGGCTGTGAATGAGGGAGGTAGTAATTAATATACTGGGTATAACTCAAGAATGGTAAAACGTATAATAATGGTTCATAAGTCAAAATAAAGCTTATACTAAGAGGAATATGAATATGCATAGTTTAGTTACTTAATAATTATACAATGGAAATATACGTTTAGTATTGGTCCCCATCAATAGATCCCAAAAGTTACCATTCATTATTCTTTTCGGGACATAACAGACCTTTAGGTCAAAGTTTCGGGGTGTGACCCCCTAAGAAAACCACCTGCTTCGGTCTGGGCACTCGGGAAGTATCACAACCCTCACACAAGTCCGATTTGATTTGTGTGGCGCATATGTATTTGGTGCCTCCTTGTACCAATATCTATGTGCTCAAATAATAATAATAATAATAATAATAATAAAATTTTGAATAAATATCTTCTGATACTCATATATACCAACTTATTATTTTAAATGAATAGGAAGTAAATAATAATTTACATCAAACGACACTATCAGATGCTTCTTATACACCTATCCATATCACAAAACATAATTCATTTCCCATGGTAACTAATGATAATTCAACAAATTCGATTCTATCATCTCCCACTGATATTTGTCATGATATTATTGTGGATACCTATAATAAATCATCCAGTATAAATTTACTTCCATCTAAATCTTTATTATCATCGTTATCATCAAAATTACCATCTTCATCTTCATCATCATTTCTATCTGAAGATACATTAATGATAACAAATACAACGATATCTATTCCTACTACTACTACTCCTAGTACTACTACCACTTCTACTTCTACTCCTAGTACTACTACTGCTACTTCTACTACTCCTAGTACTACTACTGCTACTTCTACTACTCCTAGTACTACTACCACTTCTACTTCTACTCCTAGTACTACTACTGCTACTTCTACTACTCCTAGTACTACTACTGCTACTTCTACTACTCCTAGTACTACTACTTCTACTTCTACTACTCCTAGTACTTCTACTTCTACTACTCCTAGTACTACTACTTCTACTTCTACTACTCCTAGTACTACTACTGCTACTTCTACTACTCCTAGTACTACTACTTCTACTTCTACTCCTAGTACTACTACTACTTCTACTACCAGTACTACTACTACCCGTAATCTTTCATCTTCTTATGATCAAGATTGGACATTCATTGTAAATACAGAAGAGAAATTAATTGAACAATTTGTACAATTACTAAATAATTGGATCAATTCAATGAAAACAAATCAAAATTTATCATTCATAAATAAAGAAAAATTAGATCATATTCTTATGAATCGTATTACACAATTAGAAAGTGAATTATGTGAAATTTCATTACAATATCAATTGGAACGTAAACGTCGATTAAAAGAACAATCAGTTAGTTAAATTGTTATTTACTTTTTAATTTGAACATAGTTAATCATCTATTCTTTGTATTCTATTTAAGGATTGAGCTTCAGAAACTTTTGTAAGAGTGTCAGTCAATTAGTCAGTTATGACAACATGATGACTGACCCCAAATACCCGGGTACGACTGAAAGTGGGGAGAGTCAGCTCTCCCTCTCAAAATGCTCTCATATGGCCACGCGTATACAGCCACTGTCAGGGAAGTCCTACTCACTATTTTCTCGCGGAACCATTGTTGCTTACGAAACTGAAAGGATGATTCACCTAGTGGAGTTGGAAAACCTTCATTCCAAACCAATGGTGAACATGGGTTCCAGGATCCTAAGGAAACAAATGATGAATGAACCAATTATTGGTGACCGACTATCATGAGACTGCATCTCCTAACGTTGCTCCACTGCCTTGTGGATTAGACCTTTAGATCAAAGGTTTGGGGAGTGACTCCCTAAGAAAACCATCTGTTTCTTTTTGGGCTCCCGGGCAATATTCTAGCTCTCACACATATCGAATGTAGTTGTGTGTTATTTCCTAGTTGCGCACACTGTGAAAAAAATACTTTCTATTGAGGAACCTGAAAAGGAAATCGAATCAGGTGTAGTTTTAATTAACTGACAAGAGAGCTTATAGTATAACTATTTGAGATCAATCACACACTGATCTTTCTGTAAGAAGTTTGTAATGTGTTAAACTCATACTTTTTAGAATTTAATCGCCAGTAACAGAAATCCATGGAGTAATATATCACCTGGTTATTTTAGGGCTAATCTTGTTTAGTTCTTCTGTCCCTTTTGGTAAGGTAGCATCGCTACAAATGCTGATTATCTGAGCAAATCACCTTACTGCTGTTACTTACCAGTACAGTCGACAGTAGGTTTTCACTCTCGAACCTTAGGTTTGCTGCTCACACTCTTATTTTATTTATTTTATTTATACACACAAATATTGGTACAATAGAGCACCAAATATATATGCGCCACACAAAACAATGGGAACTTGAAGAGAAGAAATAAAAAAAGTAAGGAGCGTAAAAAAAATAACATACAGATTAGTGTAAGGTAATGTAATAATAATAATGGGGGAAACAGAAACGTACACTGGGAAGAGATCTTTCAGTTAAGGAAGAAACAAACACTTTTTATGAAGAAAGTAAAAGGTTACAGCAGGATCGCCACTGGCTTCTATTCTGAGCCATATCTGATAACGTCTCTACTCGAGGACGTTTAGATAAAACCGAATTTCCACCATAGATGAGCTGTTGTATAAGTCGAAAAATAAGGATAGACAGAGTAGGAATAAATGACGTAATAATAACAATAGTAATAATAATAATAATGTGAATCGTTTGATTAATAGTTGAAGCAAGAAAAGTATTTTCCATAATTATCGACAGTTCATCATATTTGTGTGCGGGCTGTGATACTGCTCGGATGCCCAGACCAAAGCAGGTGGTTATCTTAGGGGGCCACACCCCCACACTCTTATTACTCCCTAACAGACTTGTCTGGTATAGTAGGACCCTAAAAAAACTATTGTTCCACCTAATATTTCCGGTTGGCTCGCTGTCACTGCATTCAAACACCACGATAAGTTGGAATGTAATAATTGTGTACATCTATTGTCTTTCGATTTTCGAGTTTTCTGTAATAACTCTCCTTCACAACATTCCTACCTTAAATTAGGTAATGATTTTATGTGTGTATTGCACGTATGTTCAATTTTATTATTATTATTATTATTATTATTATTATTATTATTATTATTATTATTATTATTATTATCAAAGCAGTCAGAAACAAAAGACGACGCTAAGCCTATTGTTCACAATAGTCAGGTGAGTGATTCAAACGATCCTGAGCAATTATCTAATAGTAGTAATGGAAAATCTGATGAAACTTCTAATCCACATAAAGTAATAATGAAACGTTTACATAAAGCTATTGAAGAATCAATTTATTTCGCTTCAAGAGCTAATCTCTTACAGGATGAAGTAAGTTGACCCTCATGTCTTACATGATTTTTGTTTTATAAAATTATTATTAAAACATACTTATCAAAATTGTGTGCTTTTGTAATTGTCCAGATTGTCCTAAAATACCCTGGTACGGTTGAGAGTGGGGAGAGTCCGCTCTCCCCTTTGAAACGCGCTCATATGGCCGCGCATATTGATATGACGGGAAGAGAAGTCAAATTTCCCCGTCGCCAGTTGTTATATCTCTAGATACTTATATTCTGGATATGACGCGTATAACTTGAGCAATTGAACGCTAGAACCCTTCCAAGTCACAATGAGAAGACAGAAGACTAGTGAAATGAATGTTATTCCAAACAGTGTCGACGAACTTGTCGAAATCACACATTTATTTATGTGATTTCATCCTATTTATTAATCAAAATGGGTGTACAATCAATATATGAATGAGTGTGATTTCGACTAGGTCGTCGTCGTGTTTTGGGGTTAATAAATATTCACTTATACCAGTCTTTGTATTCTTACTTTCGCGTCATGTGAATTGTAGAGGTCCCTCATTTAGAGTATAAGTGATAAAAGTTTCCGACATAACAATCAACGACGACCAGATATAACAAGTAAGCATTCAACTGACAACTTATAACAGTTGGTGACGGCGTGAAAAAAAGAGCCAAGACAATCAGCATACAGAATTCTCGCTGGTGTCCTTGAACGACATTGATTGTTAATTATTCATACAGTATTTTTCATTACCGTGCTGATTCAGAAAATGGCTATCTCTTCCGATCAATTACAGTTGCTATTTGAGTGACAACAGCAGCGTTTCCAAAAGAGGTAGTTCAATGTTTTAGACAATTCACGCACACGGCTGCTAAATCATCCCTGTTTTGGAGATGTGACAGTTGATAAATTAATTTCTAATTTGCATACAGAGTTGGAAAATGACTGCAGGATGTATGAACGTATTGATGAAAGCTTCACTGAATCCTTGATAAGCGGTAATGTAAACGAAGTAGTAGCAGTCATTCATGATCCGCCTAGTGGTCCAGAAATGTCTATTTCAGAGACATGCCCTGTCGTGGGTTCAAATCCCATTGTCCCCAAAACACCATGTACAAACACTGACTTCTCCAGCTCACAGAAAGACGACGTCCATCAGGGAAGTTCTACTCACTGCCTTCCTGAAGTGGGGGTGTTTTTCACGAATTCGGGAGAGCGAAAAGCGAATGTCCGACACCTTAACCAGGTTGGTGGATATGGAACGTCCATCTAAGGGAGTTCGAAAACCCCTATTCCAAACCAGTGGTGCACATGGGCTCCAGGATCCCGAAGGATCAAATGGCGTATGAACCAATTATTGGTTACCTGCTATCATGAGACTACACCTTCTGACGTTGCTTCATAGCCTTGTAAATTAGACCTTTAAGTCAAATGCTCAGAGTGTTTCACCTTAAGAAAACCACCTGTTTCGATTCGGGCATCTAAGAGCATCCTAGCTCATACACAAATCAAGTGACTTGTGTGTCGCATATTTATTTGGTGCCCCTTTGTACCAATATTTATGTGTTCAAATAAATAAATTGAATTTACTGACAAGGAAACAATCATTTGCTACTTATCACAGATACATTTTTATGCAAAATTTATGTTAATTATTTATTTATATGTTTATATATTGTTAACAGTGCTACTTGTTCATTGTTGATAATATAATGCAGACCTTTAGTTTCATGATCAATAATAATAACAATAAAAAGTAACCAATTAGAATAGTGAATGTTGTCCATTTGTACACAAACGCTAATACACCTTGTAAAAGTCTAGTTTTGTTTGACATTTTGTCGGATACTATCTCTCTCTGTCTATTATCATGTTAATGATTAGTTTCCTTGATGATAATTTAATGAAGTCGTACTGAATAAGTTTTCATTATACGTCCGTGATACACATTCAATTAGTTAACCATAAGTAATATGAAACATTGTGTGTGAGTTCAAGCTGTTACATCTTCATTATATATCTGTCCAAACCTAGCTATTAAATCAGAATAAACTAGCAGGGTATTTGTAATAATTAAGGTGAACACCAAAGCCACTTTACTAACCGATTATTGAATGTTTCAAATGTATATAGCCGTTGTTGACTAAGGCATACTTCATTAGCTATACTACAAATTCTCAAGGCTAATTTCACACTTTTCTATTCTATTCATTGATAGGTAAAATCCTCACCATGGGATTGTGAAAATTGTTCAGTTTTTGATTAAGATCATGAATCGATCGATGTTAGATCACCATTGAACACCTGGAAGCAATCAACAGCCATTTCATCCTAGTATGGAACTGTTGAGTAATGCGCATCCATGATCGTACACGCGGAGCTCGAACCCAGGACCGTCGATCTTGCGCATAACTACTTAACCTCTAGACTACTGAGTTGGTATCTAACGGTATTAATGCCTAACCTCAACCAATCCATGAAATTGCACGATCATCCATTGTACTGAGGTAGATACCTGTCTCTTCAACCAACACCAAGGTCAGAATTTTCAATACAAATGTCAAGACAGTTCTACTGTATGGGGCGGAAACCTGAAGAACTACGAAAGCTATCATCCAGAAAATACAAGTGTTTATTAACAGTTGTGTACGCAAAATACTTCGGATCCGTTGGCCGGACATTATTAGCAACAGCCTACTGTGGGAAAGAACAAACCAGATCCCAGTGGAGGACGAAATCAGGAAGAAGCACTGGAAGTGGATAGGACACACGTTGTGGAGAGCACCCAACTGCGTCACAACGCAAGCCCTCACATGGAATCCTCAAGGTCAAAGGAAAAGAGGAAGACCAAAGAACACATTACGCCGGGAAATGGAAATAAACATGAGAAAAATGAACAAGAATTGGATGGAACTAGAAGGGAAGGCCCAGGACAGAGTGGGTTGGAGAATGCTGGTCGGCGGCCTATGCTCCATCAGGAGTAACAGGCGTAATAATAATAATAATAATAATAATGATGATGATGATGAGATACCTGTCTCTACCTGACACAGATATTAGCTTCACTCATTAGTCTTTATTTAAACACTATTCTTTTAGATATTTTGATCATTTATTCATCTATATTCATCTATAAGAATCATAAATATGTTATTGTTTTGTCTTATTATTTTTTAAAGTTAGAATCTCTTATCCCATGGATATTACAACTCTTTCATTTACATCAAAAACAACAATATGAAATGAAAACAATGAAACAATATAATGAACAATTAAAACAACAATTAGAATCAATTAAAACAAATACAATTAAACAAATTAATGAAATGGCTAAACATATAAATAATTTAACTGAAGAATTACAAACAATTCGATTAAATTCATTAACAAATCATCATTCTCATAATAGTTTTAATAAAGAACAACAACAACAATCAAATTGTTTATCACTTCATTCAAATGATAATCAAGTTAAGAAAGTAAGTAATACTGTTATTATTGTTGGTTTGTTTACATAGTTTAGTAACATAACTAACTTTGTACATGGAGAACTGCCCTGGTTAGTAGTGTCCCCAAATCCCCTGGTACAGCTGAAAGTGGGTCGAGTTCACTCTCCCTCTCCAAATGATTTCATACGTCCATGCGTATACATCCACTGTCAGGGAAGTCTCACTCACTGCCGTCTCGAGACATTACTGTTGTTTATGTGATTAAGAGGAAGAAAAAGCGAATGTCCCACGCTTTAACTGGATTGGTGGACAGTGAGGGTTCATCTAGGGCAGTTAGAAAACTTTGATTCCAAACCAATAGTGCACATGGGCTCCAAGATCCTGAGGGGAACAAAAGGCACATGAATCTAATGTTGGTGACTGGCTACCATGGGACTGCATCTCCTGACGTTGTTCCATTGCCTTGTGGATTAGACCTTCCGGCCGGAGGTTCCAGGTGTAGCCCCCTAAGAAAATCACTTGCTTTAGTTTGGGCACCCGGTCAGTATTACAGCCCATACACAAATCAAATGACTTTTATGTGTCGCATATGTATTCGGTGCCCTTTTGTACCAATATTTATGTGTTCAAATAAATAATAATAAATCACAAATTAATTAGTTGGAAGATAGCTAGTTAAATTGTGTGAAACAACCCACTCCTCTATCTCCAACTCAATATACACTGGAAGATTGGTTTCTTCACTGACAACTAGAACTCATGAAGAGCATTGGATAACAGTTTTGTTCGGGTTAGAAACTATTATTTAGCAGTACACAACTATGACCTTCATTATACTAAGACTGAATGTTGTTTAGTTCTCATGGTAAACTTGTTACAAGTCACCACATTTCCAGTTTTCGATATATTAGAGTTTATACCAAATGTATCCATATTTCACAAATAATCATTCAACTACTTAATCTTTTTAGTTTATTTATTTGAACACATAAATATTGGTACAAAGAGGCCATGTGAGAGCACTTGGAGAGGGAGAGCGGACTCTCCCCACTCTCGGCCGTACCAGGGCATATTAAAGAATAGAAACCATTCAATGAGGAAAATTTTCTTTTCAATGAAGTTCTTTACTAAGATTAATAATTTAACATATATAGTAGTCTCTTAGAAAGTAAAGCTAATTGTATTCTGACATAAATTGTTTGCAAATATCAAATATATTCAGTGGTTAGAGGAAGTTGGTGCGAACTCCTAAACATTTAGGTTTCATGTCATTCTAGTAGTTGTTGCCTGGAACTCAAAACAACTGTCTGTTAACCAACACCAAAGTCAGAATTTTCAATACAAATGTCAAGACAGCTCTACTGTATGAGGCGGAAACTTGGCGAACTACGAAAGCCATCATCCAAAAGATACAACTGTCTATTAACAGCTGTCTACGCAAAATATTTCGAATCTGTTGGCCAGACACTCATCAACAACTTACTGTGTGAGAGAATAAACCAGATCCCAGTGGAGGACGAAATCAGGAAGAAGCTCTGGAAGTGGATAGGACACACATTGAGGAAAGCACCCAACTACGTCACAAGACAAGCCCTCACTTGAAATCATCAAGGCCAAAGGAGGAGAAAAGGAAGACCAAAGAACACATTACGCCGGGAAATGATAATAGACATGAGAAAAATGAACAAGAATTGGATGGAACTAGAAGGGAAGGCCCAGGACAGAGTGGGTTGGAGAATGCTGGTCGGCAGTCTATGTTCCATTGGGAGTAATAGGCGTAAGTAAGTATTGTGATTGCTCGTGATTTTGGCTGCTTGCGGAATATATTTCCCCATTTCGAACTTGAACTTCTCTCTTTATTTAACCGGGGGGGGGGCTCGGACGCATCAGAATAGCTAACTTATTGGTTTTTGGTCACAAAGTCTTTGTTCCGTTCTCATAACTAGGTAAACTCATAATCACTTCCAAACATAGCGTCATATAAATCTTTTATGCGTATAATTAATAGTAAATTCATACTGTCATTTAATTATTTATCTCAATGGTTAAGATCATGAGTTAGTTGAAGCTAGACCATCATAGAAAACCTGGAAGCACTGGACGGCCATTTCGTCCTATTGTGGGACTCCTCAGCAGTGCGCACCCACGACCTCGCCCTCTGCGAGATTCGAATCCAAGACCTACCGGTTTCGCGCGCGAGCACTTAACCACTAGACCACTGAGCCAACCGATATCCAACGGTGTTAATGTCTAACTTCAACTAATCCACGAAATTGAGCGGCACATTCATCATTTATCTTCAGTGAGTTACTATCTCACAACAGACCTGGTTGAACTCCACTGATCACTACTTCTGACTCATGATCTTAACCATTGAAATTACTAGAATATATCCACAAAACCCATCTGATATTAATCATTTATCTATTTTATTCTTTTTTTTATATATATATAGACTACATTATTTAATGTATTGAGAAAATGATCTGTTATGTATATATATATATATATACCTTCCATATTGCCTCCATTCATTTTAACAACTCATGTAATCATCATAAATATCAATCCAATTTCAATCGATTATATCCCAATATGTATATTAACATATATCATTATGATGATTCGATATATATATATATGGTTTATTTCTTTTCTTATCTCTATTGTACTATCTGTAAAAAGTTATTGGATTCATTGTGTCTGTGTCTGTGTGTATGTACTATGAACCCCTATTTTATTGATTATTGATTATGTAACATTAAATTTTTTTTTATTGTTTTCATTTAGATAAACAAATTATTGTAAAAAAAGACAACAAATTTTTCAGTTTTTCTATAATCATATTTTTCATTAACAATATTTAAATAGTTTTAAGAGAGAGAGAGAGAAAGAGAGGGGGGAACTTCTTTAAAAAATAAAAAATAATTTTTTTCTAGTTGCCAAGTTTTGTTTCTATTTAAAAATATTATTCTGATATTTATTGATTAGTAGGATTAATTTTGTTTATCTTTTTTTTAAAAAAAATTTATTTGATAAAAGAATTAAAATTTTATTCTAAAAAACTATACGATTTTTTAAACTTGGAAACTTAATAATTGAATCACATAAATATTGGTACAAAGAGAGCTATCCGGATGCCCAGAACGAAGCAGATGGTTTTCTTAGAGCGGGGGGGGGGAATACACGCGGAGCCTTCAACCTTGAAGGTCTAATCCATAAGGCAGCGGTGCAACTTTAGGAGATGTAGTCTTATGGTAACCGATCATCAATAATTGGTTCATATGTGATTTGATCCTTCAGAATACTGGAACCCATGTTCACTATTGGTTTAGAATTAGGGTTGTCCAACTGCTTTAGATGGATCTTCCATACCCACCAATCTGATTAAAGCGCCTGACATTCTCTTTTCGTGTTGTCAATTTCGTAAACAATAATGGTGCTACGAAAAGGCAGTGAGTAGGACTTCTCGGACAGAGGCTGTATACTCGTGGTCATGTGAGAGCATTTTGAGACAGAGAGCTGACTCTCCTCACCCTCGCTTGCTCGCAACCAATAACTTCGTTACATTTAAGATAATTTATTGGGTATATATAATAATCGGTTTATGAAGTGGCGTTGGTGTTCACCTTAATGATTACAAACACCCTGGTAGTTTATCCTGATTTAATAGCTAACTTTGCACACATATAATGAACATGTAACAGCTTGAACTCATACACAAAGGCTCATATTCTAAAATCTCCACAAAACCCCTTCTGATAATAATCATCTGCTCATTAGTGACTCACTTCCAGAGATACTCCTGGAGTTCTAGTGAGAAGCCATTAACCAGTGGAGTTCAACTAGGTCTGTTGTGAGATATCAGCTCACTGAAGACAATGGTATGCGGTAACGCAACTTCGTGGATTGGTTTAAGTTAGACATTAACACTATTGAATTCCGGCTCAGTGGTCTAGTTGATTAAGCGCTTGGCGCGAGACTGTTAGGTCCTGGGTTCGAATCCCACGGGGTGCGGGATCGTGGATGCGCACTGCTGAGGAGTCTCATACTAGGAAGAAACGACCGTCCAGTGCTTCCAAGTTTAATTGAATGTGTATCACGGACGTACAATGAAAACTTACTAAGTACAACTTCATTAAATTATCATCAAGGAAGCTGGTCGCTAAAATGATAATAGACACAGAGAGAATCTGACAAAATATCACAAAACTAAACTTTTACAAGGTGTATTAATGTTTGTGTGCAAGTGGACAACATTCACTATTCTAATTAGTCTTACTCATTGCCTTCTCTCGGCAGGGGTGTTGTTTAAGAAATTGAGAAGATGAAAGGCGAATATCCAGCGCTTTAACGGGATCGGGAGACACTGAGGGCCCACCTAGGAGAGTTAGAAAATCCTGATTCGAACCATTTGGTGCACATGGGCTTCAAGATACTGATGGAACCAAAGGCGTATGGCCCTATAGTTTGTGACCGGCTACCATGGTACTGCATTTCCTAACGCTACTCCATTGCTTTTGTGTATTAGACCTTCAGGTCAAAGGCTCGGTGTGTGACACCTTCAGAAGAGCTGCTGCTTCTGTTTGAGCACCCTAGCAGTATCCCAGCCCTCACTTGAATGATTTATATAACACATATCTATTTGCTGCTTCCTTGTACCAATGTTTGTGTTTTTAAACGAATAGAGTAAAATTGATCTTCTTAAACTTATCAAGTGCTTATATTTTAATGTATAGATTTCCCAGAACATGTGAATCAGTCTGTTTTTATTTCACTCTACCTCTTTCTATAATGAACTCGCAAACAAACTGTTTTAATGATGGTTCACTGAATAATAGGTGAGCTTGGAATGCTAAAGTAAATAACAAATTTAACGCATAATATCTGCATATCGATGTGCGGACAACAAAAGTTTTCATACAACTTCATCATTATAAATCTTCAGTGAATCTACCGATAAAGATTTTGTAGGCAATCCTGAATTTTAGGCAAAGATGAATGGTGACTAACAGTCGAATCCAGGATGCGTGTTTCGTCCTATTTGGGGCTCAGTAGCTAAGTGGATAACGCGATGGCGTTTGAAGTGAACGGTACTGGGTTCGAGTTCCAGAGTGAACATCAACTCTGAGGTGCAGCTGACAAGTCTCAAATAGGATGAAACGCGCGTCCTGGACATCACTGGTAATCTTTCCTTATAATGCTTGTGAATTAAGGTAATACGCACAGTATACATATATGCCAATAAGAGACTGATCGATTGCATTCCTAAACACCAATGAGAAGATTCAAGTAAAAAATACCAAGTGAATGGGGAATTTTTCTATTAAATCATTTATGACTATAAAGAATATGCAGGACGAAACATTTAATGTGAATAAATTCATATTGATGATGCTACATACTATAACTTGTGGGTTTGTGCCCCTATCAATGTATGGCGTAATGATACCGCCAATCAGAGAACAATGAATCATCGACTGGACCAATGACAAGTAAACCCGTACGAGCAGTCTACAGTCCTTATCGGTCCTTCTCCCTACCTAGCCATACCTGTTAAAGGCCAGAACTTCAATCTCAGCCTCTGTGATATGAACCATGTGTTTTCAGCCAAAAGTGTCTGTGAATGTGGGGGACTGTAATTAATAGAATAGTTAATGGTCTAATAATAGTTCATAGGTCAAAATAAAACTTATAATAAGAGGAACACGAATATAAATAGTGAAGTTGCTCAACGACTATGCAATAAAAAAATATATGTAGTATTAGTCCAGAAATAGATTCCAACAGTTACCACTCATTAATCTCATCGGGATATACCACTACGTAGTTATGTTTCTACAGTGCTATGATCGTTAAAAGTGATGATAAGCCTTGAAAAACCAGAAGATTTCATAAAACTACCAAACTGCACCACATTTTATTACTTCTGTTGTAAAGTAATTTTAGTGTATACAGACTCTCCTCAATGTTTGAAAAGTGACTTTAAAAACATATGGTCATCTTGAGAAAACCTCAAGCCCATTTTTATCCTATACTTTTACTATTATCCTTATAAATATTATTTACAAAAAATGCGATTATATCATGTTCTAATCCAAGCATTCAGATGGATCAGGGCTGCTAACGCTTGACGTCAGAAACTAGGACTTCTAGTCAAGGTACCTTGGTAACACCTTAAGCAATAAATATTTGGTTAAAATCTCAATATTGACTTAAGCTGAAAAATAAGAAGCTCAAAGCATCGGTTTCATCATTGTTCCAAATTCATTTGCACTATGAGTCGTAATTTCCATGAGGATTAGGGTCTAAAACATAGTACTAATGTCTAGAAATTCTAACCACTGGATTCCAATCTTGTGATTAGACAATGTGTTGCTTTTCACCAGGCTTCAAGATTTACTGTTATGTGTGTGATATGCAGTACTTAAAAGAACACTTAACTAGAACAGAACGGTTACTTCATACGTTTTAGGTTTTCATTGTCGACCAGTCTACGTTGATTTCATCATACATCACTTTAATGTCAGGAGTTGTATTATATGTGATGTAGTCAGTGTTCATAGGCACATAAACCGGAAAAGTGACTTAAACCATTTTTTCCATTGACTAGAAGGTTTTAATCTTAAACTCCTTTCTAAATAAACACTACAACAAACGGATATTATATGCCTAGAATTTTAGACCGGTATCCAACTTCTAATCCTAATAACTTGTTCCAAAGTAACTGTCGAACTAACTAATTAGGCGTTCAGTATTGAAAACATGTGTATTTCTAATCGATATATGAATAATAAACTGATTATCAATATTCTATTACTGTTGAACTTGATTGGATTTATCTTTTTATAATTGAGTTTATATTGGCTGAAAATGATCTGTTTCTTGTTGAAACGGCTCCCGAGAACTACGATGGAGCCTTTAGAGACCCTAGAGGAGCCGGAGAGTTTCATCCAATCAGAACGTAATGGAGCTTTTCAGAATATCAACATGGCATGCTACTATTGGCCAGTTGCATAACATGCCTCTTTTTGCAGATTAGTTGAATACTAATATTGATTTAACAAACGCTAATATCTATAAATACCCATGATTTTCTGTACAATTCGATTCTTGCACAACAATCACTTTCTCCAATCTTCTTTTGTCTTCTTATTCGCGACTTGGAAGGTTCTAGTGTTCGAGTGCTCACGTTATTCGCAGTATATTAAGAATCTAAGCTCTAAATATAACATTTCTTAGATGAAATTTTAACGATTAGAACAATGTAGTGATGATATTTAAGAGATTTGCAACTGATTCGTTTAGTTCATTGAACGAAAATACAGACAATAGGGTGAACACTAAGAAGTATTTAGGATAACAATGTAAACGACCACTGGTCATATAAATAAGGCTAGTCATACCAGCTATGTTCCCTATGAAGCATATTGTGTATATGTGAGTAAAAATTAGTATTTCTCGTTACTTGAATATAGTATTAAATTGAATGTTGTGAACGTCTTTGATTTATCGTAAATATAGTTAGGGGCGGCCAGACCAAAACATGGTATCAGTCCACAAAGTCACTAACTTCTAGTCTTGGTCATATTGATAAATGCAGGCTACTTGGCTGGGGTCCGCTTGACTATCATAACCAATGGTTGAAGACTCTGGGTGACATGATTCAGAATCAATCACAATGACGTCGGTGTATACGCTCTTTGTCTTCCCTTAAACTAAGAGGTTAACATCGCTTCATATCTTTTTTTCTACGAACTAATTCTTTCTTCCTGTAATATATCCTTAAATGCAATCTTACTTTTATATATTACCACCATTGAAGTAACCACTTCTATGAATTTGATGTTCATCTTGTTGTGTTAATGAGGTGTGGCAACTTGAACCGATGCATATATGTGCCTGGTTCTGCGTTGCAGATGACTGACTCATGGTAAATATAAAGTTTGTTAACTTCAAGTATTAAGATAAATAAATTATCTCCTGTTTCCAGGTTAAATATTATCATTAGTTCTCTAGAATTTATATTGTTCTTGGTAATAGTTACATCTAAAATAGAAATATTTTGCAAAGGATTTGTACCTAGATCAATTCAGTAACATGAAAGCTGAGTAACGAAATGTTTTCGCAACAGTCTATTGTGGAAGAGAACAAACCAACTTTCAGATGAGAAGGAATTTAGAAACAGACATTGAAAGTGGATAGGACACAGATTGAGTAAATCATCAAATTACATCACGAGTCAAGCAATTATTTGGAATCCTGAAGAGAAACGGAAAAATGGAAGATCAAAAAACATACTACGTCGGGAATTGGAAACGAACATGAAAAAGTTGAATAGTAACTGGAATCAAGTTGTAAGGATAGCCTAAGATAGAGTTGGATGGAGAATGATAGTGAGTGGCCTATGCTCGCCCATGGGGAGTAACAGGTTTAAGTAAGTAATACCACAATCGAACATGCTGAAACACAAAATTACAGCACGTCTTAGTAAAGTCTGAGAATCATATGTTATATCCCCATAAGAATAATGAATGGTAACTTTTGGGATCCATTTATGGACCAATACCATGACTATATTTTTATCGTATAATTGTTATGTAACTAAACTGTTCATATTCATGTCGCTCTTATTATAAGCTTTGATTTGACCCATAGACTATTACTATACGATTTACCATTCTTGAATTATGCCCTGTCTATTAGTCACTACCTCCCTCATTCACAGCCACTTTTGGCCAAATATTGTACAAATGTTGTTTCATATTTTATTGGTACGTTGTGGTCTGTTTGATTGGTATATAAACTCAGTATGTTTGAAATACATGGTTCATATTGCAGAGGCTGAGATTGGTGTTCTGGACTTAACTGGCTGAGTTAGACAGGGAGCGAGACCAATCAAGTCTCTAGGCCTCTCGCACGTGTTTTATGCGTCTTCACTCTTGTGTTCAGGTTGCTGTATAGTTCTAGCTTGGAGGTTACAGAATAGCTTAGGAAACGAATATAGCGTTCAATTCGCAAGACTTATCACCATACAATAAATACTTCATTTACAAAATATCAATCAATTGCCTTAGACTTCATTGTTTCTGCATTTTCATACCACTTCCTTTCTATTCCCATTCTTTTCTCCTCGTTCTTCTTGACCTTCTACTACCAGACATTCTAATCCTGACTATCGTTATATAAGTAGCACAGATCACATTTACAGTGTATAATTTGAGATTATTTAATCAACCTTACTTCTTACCGGTTAGTAAGTACTATGCCTATCTCATTAACTACTATCAATATCAATAACTCCGCCTGGAGTCCCCCCGGGGGCTACTGCCGGTCCCGAGCCCGAATAAAAGAGGAGGGTTGGGCATGGGGTTAGCGATCCTATCCCGTAGAAAACGAACTCGCTAACCAGAAAAAACTAATATATGGCAGTGTATATTAAAGTGAAAAATAATATTAAAAAAACAAACTGTACAATATGTGCACAAACTCCAACTCATCATAGAAAATGATTTGCTTATTTTTTTTTAAAAAAAAATGTTAATTCAGTCTAAAAACTGTAAATAAATAAAAACAAAATTCAAATATATAGGGGTTACATTGTTTTTTTTTAAAGGGGAAAGAAAAAAAACAAACAAATCTAAACTACTTACAAACTACTGATTAATTTAAGATCATTTTTCAACTATTCCACCTACCATCAAACAACCACCCACCCACTCACCCAACAACAGCAACAACAATAATAATCATAAAAAGAATTTTAAAATAAACAAATTAAGATTTTTTTTATAAAAAAAATGAAAAAAACAAAAAACTGTATTACACTAAATAGTAGAAAAGGAATACATGATATGTGCAGTACAATTAACAAGAACACTAACAATAAGAACAACAACAAACGAGAACAGTACTTTATGATGTTTTGTCACGATGTTATTCTTCTAGATACCCTTAGATAGACCAATTGATTTCATTGTAATTTTTGTATATGTGTTGCTTTTTCCTATAAAGTTAAAAGATAAATATGGTTTTTTTTGTTTTGTTTTTCCTATTTTGTTAGAGATAATATGTTGTGATAGATACTGAATTCATCTATTAATGTCAATATAAATAATTAAATATGATAAGTCAATCTAGCTGATAAGTAACAACAGATCAATCAGTCAGTAACAACGTGGAACTTCGTACGTACTTACGTACATCGGTTTGAGTTGCCATACCACATTAGCACAGAGATAAGTAACAGATAGAATGAAAATGGTTTCATAAAAAATTTACTCTTCACTTATTGGTGTAAACATTCTAGGATGGTGGAATTATATGTGGTGTCAGTCAGTGACAACGTAGGACTAGACACATATATACGTCGGTCCAAGTTACCATACTTCACTCATTAACACAACAAAATGAACACCAAATTCATAGAAGTAGTTAGTTCAACGGTGTTAATATATGTAAGAAAGATTGCATATAAGGATATAGTACAGGAAGAAAGAATTAGTTCGTAGAAAGTAATTTTAATCTCACAGTTTAAGGGAAGACAACGATTGCATACACTGATGCCATTGCGATCGATTCCGAGTCATGTTACTCAAAGTCTCCAACCATTGGTTACAATAGTTACGTGGACCCCAAGCAAGTAGTCTGCATCTACCAACATGGGTAAGACCAGATTCAGTGACTTTTGGCTTGGCCGCCCCTAACATTTTTTCAGCTGTCTCTAACACTAGTTATCATTGAGCGTCGTAGTTAACGGTGTTCAAGCATACATAACACGTGGCCCAATCATCTCAGTCGATGAAGATTCACAACCTCATCAACTGATTTACCATCATTCCCTTATACTCTGAGTCTAACCTCACTATTACATACCCGGTGATCGCAGCAGATGTAAGCACTACTAGTAATTTACAAGTATCTCCTACTCTTAATGTCTTTGTTTCGCAGCCATAAAGTAGGACAGAACGAACTTCTGCTCAGTATACTTGTCATTTTATTGATAGACGAATATCTTGCCTTTGCCAAAGGTGACATAAGTTGGCAAAAGCCAAATAAACTTTGTGAATCCGTGTAGTGATTTCGTCAGACGCCAACTCATTAGGACTGATCGGACTTCAAAGATAAGTGAAATCGTCGACGCGTTCAACTACTTCACTCTCTATCCTTAATTCAGGTGTTGATGCAGGCCAGTCCTGAAGCATCAGCTTGCATTTAGAGGGAAAGAAAGGCACCTCAAACATCCTGGCATTGTTGCCCACGATGTTATATGATTACACTCTATTAAGGTTCCATATCGCTTAAAAACACAAGAATCTCTATGAATATGATAAAATATTTCCACCTAGTGATCATTAAATAAGATGGAATCTGAAATAAGAATTTGTATTCCTACTAAGAAGTCAAATCATTCAACCTTATGAAAGTAAAACTCAACTGTTCCTGGAGACCTTTGTATAATAAATAGATTACCGATTAAGTTAAATAGAATAATCCATTTCATGTAAATCTGAACTCCTGTAAAAACCAACTAAACATTTCAACATCTCTTTGATTGAGATAATGAACTGACTAATGTTAGACCACCGTTGGAAACATGGAAGCACTGGACGGCTATCTCGTCCTATTGTGGGACTCCTCAGCAGTGTATCCAAGATCCCGCTCGCGGGATTCGAACCCAGGGCCTTCAGTCTCTCGCGCGAACGCTTAACTTACTGGACCACTGAGCCGGCATTCAATTCAACACAGATTAGTGATCATCTTAATGCTACAAAATACCACCATTAGAAAATTTAAATGTTTCTTGTTTTCAAAATAATCTGTAAAGAAAATGACGCAACTACTATAAAAACTTACTAAACCATCTGGATTATAAAGACTTGTTTGAATGTATGAACCAGTACCCCAAGTTGAATATGGTGCTTCAATATCATTTGTATTGGAATTACGTGTAGTTGGTTTACCTGCCCAAATCTGAAATATTTTTTTATTTTCAAAAGGATTAACTTATATTCAAAGCTTAAATAATAAAAAAAGACACTATATCATACTATTAATTATATGTTATTACAAAAGAAGCAGCGTTAACGCACCATCCCGCATGTAAGACTTGGACCGTCAACCTCCGGTCTCACGCGCGAACGCTTGGCCTCCTAGACCACTGAGCTTTCATCCAATGGTGTTAATATCTAACATCAATCAATCCATGATCTTGCACAACCCTTTATCCATTGTCTGAGGTGGATAACTGTCTCACACCTGACACAGATTAAACACCGCTAGTCACAGTTTCTCATTAAAACTTCAGGAAATCCATCTTTAAGCTAATCAGTAGTGAGTACATGATTATTATTAATAATTTTGGGGATTTGTGGTTCCAGATTTCCAATGTTGGTCTAGTTTAGATTGATTCGTGAATTTTATTTTGAAAATACTACAATGTCCACAAATTCTCAAAATTGATTATGTAATATCTTAAAAATCTAAGCAAAACCAATAAATACATTCATTTTCAATAAATCTTAGGGAGCCACTCCAGGAGCCTCTGACCTAATGGTCTGATACCCAAGACAGTAGAAAAACGTTAGGAGATGCGATCCCATGGTAGCCAGTCGCCAACAATTGGTTCATACGCCATTTGTTCTATCAAGATTCTAAAGCCCATGTTCACCATTGCTTACGAATCAGAGTTTTCCATCTCCACCAACCCGGTTAAAGCGCCGGACATCCGCCTTTCATTATTACGAGTAATAGTAATGCCACGAAAAGGCATTGAATGGGACTTCCCTGACAGTAGCTGTATACTCCAAGACTCGAACAAACAATACAAAATGAATTTCACTCAATTATTCTCATAATTATCGACTTATTCATACAATATTACACTTACTTTAACACTTGAATGAGGCGATAAAGTGTGATTAGGAAATGTATATCGAATTATCTGTCTTCCTTGATCAATATTTCTAATAAGACACCAACCGAATAGAGATTCTTCCTAAATATCAATTAACATATTGTTAGTAATATAGTACAATTCTTTCATAGTTCAATTACTAATCTCCCATTCCCTTCTTGAAAAAGCACATAAATACGCAATAAAAGACCTTTTTTAATTGAATCATTTCGTAAAACATACATGTTTGTATTGTTTAGCACAGTATTCGATTTCTGTAGACCTTTGATCAGCTGAAAAACCACCTCGCTATGATACTTACCTTTAAAATTAAGCACAACTCTCCATAAAGACAGGTAAATAAATACCATCTATTTATTCACTAATAACTTGCTTCTAGATGCATATCTCAATGTCCCAGAGTTCAAAGTTGTATTGTGTACAGTTAGTCTAGTCAGAAATAAGACAATTAACCATAGATGATGATATTGAGTTAAGCGTACGCACACGAAGCCAAAGACTCTGGTTTCGAATCCTGCGAGCGGGATCGTGGATGCGCACCATAATGGGACGAAACGGTCGTCCAGTGCTTTCAGGTTTTCAATGGTGATTTAACATCAATCGGTTCATTATCTCAATCAAAAATATTGTGTGATAGTTGGATTATACTACAAATCCACTGAAATTACATGACAGAAAGAATTTCTTTTAGACTCATTAACTAAATGATAATAAGCTTGCTATTAGATCTGAATACTTTGGGTTCAATTTTTTGTAAAGGTGAGAGTCTGTACTACTGAGAGGTTGCAAACTAGGACAAAATATCTGTCCAGTGCTCTCTAGTATTTAATGATCCTCTGGTTGGTTGGAATTTACGACAAAAGTTATTTTAAGACTCTGTTTTATTTATTAGAATACACTAACATACACCTTCTATAATTGTGTGATTACGGTCAACTAAAAAATGGAAAAGACAGAACCAAACTCTACGTGGTGTCCTGGATTTAGTGAATTCTGTTCATGAGCTAATGAATGTGGCTCAGCAGAGAGCGGGCTGACTACCTACTTTGCTTAAACAAATGAAGATCGGGCTAATCTCCCACTCTGTCTTAAAATCTGATTAGTAGAAGGGGGTGTATTCTTTGTATTGATATTGAAAGTAAAATATGGATTGTCGTACAGCTTGGATAAACAGCTATTTACCTTACTGACTATAAAGTATGTGATTTTTCTTCCTGTTATTGATTTCTACTCGGGACTCACTGAGTGTGACTGCTTGTAATTGTGTTAAATAATATGGTTCTCTCTTCTGGGTCGTGAATCCTGGATCCGATATAACGCGACTAGTCTCATTATCATAGTATACCTGAGAATGATCAAAATATTTCAAACTATCCGTTATATCAGATATGCGTGAAACATTTCACTGGAGGAATGTTACCTTTTTTGTTTGACAAGTTTCACTCTAGGAAGGCCCGTTAGGTCTGGGTGTGACGGGCCAGAGCATAGACCACAAATCTTGCCGTAACCAGTACATAGGGGTCGAAACTAAACTTGGTTGTGGTATGAGCGTGATGAGAGCTTATCGTCAAATGACGACTTATGACCGAACTGATTTGATTACTTGTCATTCATTCACTGTTTGGTAACCGCGAGGCTGCGATATGGAGTGACTTCTATCTATACTTATGTGTATACTATGGAGCGTTTAGCCTTCGGTCTATACACTTTATACATGTGTGTCACGGATACTCGCGAGCGAAAGCATCCATACCTATGTGTGTACTATGGAATGTATAGATCACGTTTTATCTATTCTATGTATGCATGTAATGTATACCGGTGACTGAGGATATCTATGCCAATGTGTGCATCATAGAGTGCATGTGTCCTTGATATGTTCATTCTATGTACACATGTAATGCATACTTGCGGCAGTACCACGTCCCATACTGGTGTATTCATCATAGCTTTAAACGCTTCTGAGTTGTTATGGGGTTTCCGAATGTGATAGGAAAGTGTAGACTGTGAAATGTCTGTTTGCATTACAGAAATTGATTTCCCTATTTACACACAAAAAAGCAAAGTAAACTGTAACGTGTCCGTTTGGTTTGCATTCTCCAGTGCTCCAGTCTCTCACAATTTGCAAAAGCTTTTTCAGAACAGCACATGTAAGCGAACAATTGTTTTCAATTAGATCGTCATCAGGCTTTACTCAAATATTCACGAACGTTAAGCCAATCAAGGTAATTTAGGTCAATAATCACATAATAGGTAAAAGTACAAGTTCATAGTAGGAAGATAGTAGGAAGCTCTTTTCCCAAACGACCCACTGGCTTCTCTTATTTAGTTGATGGGGATAAAGGAAACATAATAACTGTTTTACACTCGTTGCCACTAATTTATGACTTCGTTGAAGTCGATTTTAATTAACTTGGCATTGGACACTTAAAATGTTTCTAGCCCCTCGAAGGTCATACATATTTAACTTTTAGCTAATCAAGTCTTGAAAGAAGATGAAATCATTGACTTCTTGATTTATTGGATATTTCTCCAACTCTCTGATACTCTAATAATAATTTGGACACTTTTAGACTATTGGGATTTTTAGACACGTTTATCAACATTCAACACATATAACTGTCACAAATCTATTAAATAATATGAAGGGTGAATCTAACAGCTTCTTTACAGCTTTTAAAAGTGGAAGCTATGTGAAGCAAACTTATTTACGGTAAAGAAATCCAAAAATAATTTTTTTCATAAGATATCTATAAAACCCAATAGAAGTCTTAGACAAAACAATTAAGTGACACATAAAACTCTGAAGTCGACATATGAGATTTGTCTACAAGATATGGTACTTGTATTCATGAAAAAACAAGCAATCCATTCTACAAACATCAATTTGTGAATCAATATCAGGAGTTATGTGGATATTATAGTAATTTTAATAGTTGAGATCATGAGTCAATTGAAGCTTGATCACCATGAAAAACCTAAAAGCACTGGACGGCCGTTTCGTCCCACTGTGGGACTCAGCAGTGCGTATCCACGATTACGACTCTCGAGACTTGAGACCAGGACCTATCGGTCTCGTGAGCGAACGCTTAGCCACTAGACCACTGAGCCGGTATCCAATGCTGTTCATGTCTAACTTCAAATAATTCACGAAATCGAGCGAAACATCCATCATTGTCTTCAGTGATTTACTATCTCATACAGACCCGGTTGAACTCCACTGGTCACTGCTTCTCATTAGAACTCCAGGAAATACCTCTTGAAGCCAGTCACTAGTGAGCATGTGTCGATTAATATATCAGAAGGGGTTTTGTGGATAAGGCATTTACAGCATCAATAAACAATCAACTAACAAATGGTTCTCGTAATAATTATTTAAGAGTTACTTAGAAAAAAACATAAGATAAATAAAGCAAGATCCAGTAGCTAAGTTAGTATAATAATAGCAATCAATAATCTAAATGAAACTAAGAACAGAATAGATGAAAATCATTACAAATAAACAAATTTTCAGTTAAGAGGGTTGGGAATATTATCGCATATTTGTCATATGATCAACCGGACTAAGAAATCTATTAAAAACTAATAAGAACTGAATAATTGTTTCTTCTTGTTATTGGACTTCTCAGTAATGAGAAACCACGACAATGCCAACCGGGACTAAGGATTTAAATGCTTAGGACTATTACGTAACAACGAAAGGAAAATTGATTGACAATGCATTAGTTACTGAATATTAGTAAGTAGCATAAGGTTGATCACGGGAAGCAAATTGTCAGAATTAGCAGCATCGGTTATTATCAGTGAAACTACAGATGAGATTTCTGCAGAATATCTCGGTGATATTGAATTATGCGGAGACAAGACGATGGTATGCAAAAATACTATGAACTGGTTATCCTAATAAAATAACCTAAAGTACTGTGCTTTGTTTAACTCATAATAAATTTATTGTAAAAATGCATTTTGTCCCCAAAACAAATGACCTTTAGACTAGTAGTACTTTAGAAAATATAGACAGTTATCTTATTTATAAACGTACTAAATTATTAAAAGCTTCTAGAATTGAGAAAATATTGTCTAATTTTTGAAACTATCTTGCGATGCATCATAAGCAAAGATGGATGGTTACTAGTAGAGGCATTCATTACGTGCGTTTTATCCCATTTTGAGACTTGTCAGGTGGATTTGTCTGTTAACCAGAGTCGATGACCACTTCAGAACTCAGACCCAGTAACGTTCGTTTCAAACGCCATCACCTTACCCTCTTAGCTACTGCTTTCGGATAGCCACCAGCTTGCGGCTAGGACTGGTCAATAGCAGGAGCAAAAACAAATATTCTGCTAGAATCTTTGTTCTTGTTATAATCTAACTTCACAAGCATCCACTGCTAGCCACTATCCATCTTTGTATATAATGCTTGTGAATTAAGGCTATATCGAGGCAATACATACAGTATGCATATATGCAGTCATAAGCATCAATGGGAAGATCCAAACAAACATACAACTTCACCAGATTGCACAAGCAGTTGGCTCTCAGGATTCAGTAGCGAAATGGATAACGTGATGCCGTTTGAAGCGAACTCTACTGAGTTCGAGCCCCAGGGTGAACATCAACTCGTACGTACATCCAACCGACGAGCCCTGGATTCAAGTGCTAGCCGACTACCCAATTTCGCATACAAATAACATATGCATTTAGAAAAGTGTTATATAACGATGTAATTATCTACTCACTGTATTTCCTTTATTTGTTATTTCAATATAAGATCCATTCTTTGCACATTCATTAATAACTAAATGTCCACGTGTAAATGTTTCACTATGACTCATTGAATTTTGTTGTTTATCAACTGGTAAAAAAAAATAAAATCATAAAGATTTTGGGATTATTCGTCATTTACTCTTACAATTTGTCAATTCTTGCATATTACCTATTATTCTTTGCTGTTCTCCATTATTCTCTCCCGGGCTTTTGAGAAAAGACTTTGCTGTATTGCGGAGACTGCTGAAGGCAGTTGGCTAGATGTGTGGTAAATCTTTCGAGGTCATAATTAATATGGTTGTGAATAGACAACTTAAGTCATGCAAACTCCTGACAGGTGTTATTTTATCAGATAATAACCATCCCCATCACTCTTTTCTTTATCCTTGTATATCTTCTGGTAGGACGAGACGGAATTACAATAAGATCCATGCACACAAGCTAAAGTATAAAAAATCTATATTACCTTACCTAACGAATATACTCTGTGACGAACAGGTTGTTAGAGTTAACCTAGTCAATAACCTGCATTCTTAACATGTCTCTAATTTGAAAAGTTGTACAGGTTTTCGGTTTTTTTTTAAAAACCTTTTTCATTTTTTTTGTATTCCTTACTGGATTTTTTTGTTGTTGTTGCGTAAGTAACTTGTTGAAATACCCTGTGCTGAGAATTCTATCTTGTACCAAAACTATAATATTGAATAAAGCCATTAATAATAATAATAATAATATGGAAAAAAGAAAATTAAAATGTAAAGATATTCATAACTATAATAACTATTTTATCTTCAAGGTACCATTCAAAAGATGTCTCCATTGTATACTGGATGATTGTTTACTTTTTGTTGGCATATGATATCAATCTAAAATAGGCCCAACCGAATTATATTCAGCACAACATTACAGAGTTACTTGGTAAAATGGAAAAACCACACTAATACTTAATTTGCAAAATGTTCAATAATTGCCTCGAGATTCGTTGTTCTTGCATTTCTATACTAATTGCTTTCTATTCCCGTTCTTCCTTTCTTGATCCTCCCAATCTTCTGCTGGCAGACATTACATTCTTGACTTGCGTTTTATACTACTTATGTCAATATAAATAGCACGCACCACACTACAATTCTGTTATATCCCGATGAGAACTGTGAACAGTAACTTTTGAGAACTATTTATAAAAAATATTATATGTATATTCTTAATATATAACTATTCATTAGCCAGATTGTGTATATCTATAATCCTGGTATTATAAGCTTTATTTTGACCTATGAACTATTATTATTATACGATTTACCATTCTTGAGTTATGCCCAGTCTATTAATTACAGTCTCTCACATTCACAACCACTTTTGGCTAGATCTTGTACAAATGTTATTTTCTATTATATAGTGTGATGTAGGAATATTACAATAACTCACTAACCAAGTACATGTTTATGATACTCAACTTTGAGTTATACATTATTTATATAATGCTACATAGCTGCTTAAAACGAAGTATATACAACAAAGTTCGAATCCGTGACTTGCTGCGTTCTGTTGCCGGATGGAGTCATGAATGTGAACCACTGAGGAGTCCCGTTATAAGATGAAACAGATTTCTAGTAATCTATGATTTTTAGTGACAACCTTAATACCATCAGTCATGTTATATCCCGACGAGAATACTGAATGGTAAATCTTGAGAACTATTTATGGACTAATACTATACATATAATTCTATTGTATAATTGTTAGGTAGCGAAACTATCCAGGTTCATGTTTCTCCTATCGTCAGCTTCATTTTGATTCACAGACTATTATTATACGGTTTGCCGTTCTTGAGTTATGTCCAGTCTATTGATTACAGTTTCCCATATTCACAACCACTTTTGGATAGATCTTGTACAAATTTTATTTTCTATTTTATGGTATGATGTGGTCTATTTGGTTTGTATGTAAACCAAGTATGTTTGAAATACATTGTTCATATCGTAGAGGCTGAGGTTAATGTTCTGGACTCTAACAGGCAGGGCTAGGCAGGGTGAAGTACAAATAAGTAATTTAGACTACTCGTACGAGTTTACGTATCATTGGTCTAGTCGAACTGTGATAGTTTTCTATTCCCTTTTTTTAATTTCTCTTAGTTATATTCAACGTCAAATAAGTGTCTTTCAACTTCAATTAACGTTTTATGTAATAAAACTGGAACTACTAATGAGTAGTATATCAGATTTGTTGAAAAAAATAAGAAAACACAACTTGTACGATCAACTTAAACGTAAATAAGAATGACTGATTATATTGACACTATTATGATCAATCAACTATAAGTATGAAAATCTACCATTGTATTGCAACTGAATGCTGCTTATCTATTCAATTTGACAGTTTGTAATAATAATTAAAACAAATGAATTAAGAATGATACGATAAAACTTACGATCAGAATAACTACAAGATAAGTGATGATTACCTGGAAAAAAGATTACAAAAGAAAAGAAATTTTTAAGTTCACTTTCACCACCACCAACAACAACAATAAGAATGCTTGTTTTCATTAAGATACACAATAAATTTTTGTTATTATCTAACTTCTGTTCATATTTCCGTACCACCTCCTTCCAACCTTGATGGTTGATAAAGGTTCCCTGGAAGCCAATTGACTTAACTGGATACTGTTTATTTACTTTAGCTTGACACATACTGGAGCCAAACATAATTTTTCAGTGAGGAATCATTTGTTATCAGATCACAATGAACAGTTCGATAATATTTTTATTTGTAATTATGAGTTGCATACATACCAAGAATACACTAATCAGACCTATGAATTCTGAGCATGCATATGAATACATGCACAGCTGGAGTACATAAGTCGAAGACCCTATGAATTCCTGGTATACATACAAGGATAAGTGACATGAATGAGAGGGTAAAATAGTCCTCACTCCCATATTTGTTTTATTATCGCTGTTGAAGTTTTTGAAAATATACACTACATACACACCTGAAACACACTGGTTCAAACCCATGGCAGCAATGCAGCAGCAATTTGGAAGACTCCCTCTGTCTCCCACGCTGTATGAACATTCCATGTACTTAAATTAATGGTTGCTCTGGTTTTCAGAAGGAGCATCAGCCTCGTGATTTCCGAAGGAACTCGGATTTCACTATTAGGCGTCATAACTCTTCTAAATGAAGACCCTCTAACTTCCAGGACAGAGTTTAAATGGTTTGAATTATTTTTTATGGCCAGCTTTTTTTAGCGAGTTAGTTTTCTACGAAATGGGGTCGCTAACCCCATGCCCAACACTCCTCCCTTATCCGGGCTTGGTACTGGCAGTAGCCCAAGATGGGCTCTAGGCGTACACATGGCATACACATAGAAATAGATGGGCCCATGTATTCATCATGAATTATATTTCTAACCCAATAGTTTCGGTATAAGTATTGGATTAGACTGATTCCCATTGAACCGTTCATTTCAGCTCATGAAACAAATCCTACAATTCTGTAGGTACTAAAAGAAGTTGTGAGTCCGGCTTTAGTTCATAGTCAAGAGTTGAATTCTATACTGAACATACTAATCAAACTGTAGAAATGCACACAGAAATATGAACAAGTTTATTAGACAACAGTCTATCTTACCAATTAGACCTCATTTTGATTACTGAAATTTATTTTCAAAGATTTTATGAATATATTTATCTAACATCGATCCGTGATATAAAAATTTGAAGGATAAACTTTTGTAAGTTAACTACAGGCTCTTATTCGTTAAAGTTTGGGTGGACGAAAATGGTGCAGAGTAAACAGTTAAGGTTAGTATATGTATAACCTTATACTTAATTCTGACCCTAAATCCTAATCTAAACCCTAACCTTAACGATAAACCCTAATTATAACCCTAATCCTGAAACATACTCCTAACTCTAATTTTAAGCATAAATCGTAATCTTAGCATTAATCCTAATAATAACAAATATCACTCAATAGCATATTTAGTTTATGCTTATATATACAGTTACTTTATTCCTACATTCATGAGTGAGTAATGCCCTTAGTAATCTAACATGCAAGTATCTAATAGTGTTTCTCTCACAGAAATTGATCATTATACAATCGACATATATATATTCCCCATTATTTAACAGGTTGCTTTCTCAATCCTGATTAGTTTGACTTGATGCTTGAATATAATCAGTTGGTACTTGACGTTGTTTTAATTTAATTTGTTAATTATAAGTCAATATCAGAAAGGAGTTTTATGGAGATCGTGGTAATTTAATAATTGAATTCATGAGTCAATTAAAGCTAGAGCATTATGGAAAATTTGAAAGTACTGGATGGCTGTTTCATGGATAGGTTGAAGTTAGACATTAGCACCGTTGGATACCAGCTCAGTTGTCTGAAGGCTAAGCGTTCGCGAGCTAGACCGTAGGTCATGCGTTCGAGTCAATTGTGTGCAATTGTGAATGCTCAGTGCTGAGAAGTCCCGCACTAGGATAAGTTAACCGTTCAGTTCTTTCAGGTTTTCCATGTTGGTCTAGCTTTCATTCACTCATGAATTCAATTATAAGTCAATACTTCAATTCAATTCAAATAATCTAATAGAATAAGATGGTGGTTGGAGGTAGTCAGTCAACAGAAAACCCTAAACCGAGGTTTCATACTATTTGACACTCATCATCAAGATGTACCTGTAATCTTGATGAAACTGTTGCTTCCTGATGAATTCGATCTCATATCACCCAGTTTCACAATCAGAAACGTTACCACTGAGCAATCCGGGCTGTGACTGACCTCTTGTAGGACTTAGATATAGTCACAATTGATTGATCACTGAATGGTGATCAATGTCATGTATGCCAGGTCCTTCTTAATACAGATTGAATCCTATCAACTACATTTCAATGCTTCATATGTATCAGGTCCTTTTTAATGCAGATCAAATGTTATTGATCAAGTTGTAATACAATTATTCGATCTATACTAAAAAGGATCTGACACACATGATACTGATCATCACCACCTAGTGATCAATCAATTATAAATCTAATCTACTTTTCATATTTTAGATTCTTCTCCATGATTTAACTATATAACTAAGATAATTCATTATAATCAGTAGGTGTGTATACCTTTATAATCAAGAAAATCTACCCATAAATAAGGAATTCCATTATTTAATCATTACTGATTTACTTATTTTAATCATCCAAATTGTTTAATAGGCGTTATTCTTTATATCTGGTTTTTCTTATCTTTCAAATTACAAGTGAATGTAATAGATTTTTATGACCCGTCGGAGAAAGAGAAGAAAAAAAACACAACCCATAACTAATAGAATAAAGAAATTTATAGAAAGAATAAGATATAGAAAAAAAGGGGAAAAAAGGGGAAAATAGTGTTGAAAAATGATGTTGACAACAATAACAAATAAAGATATAAACATTGTGTGTGTATATATATGTGGGCATGTGTGAGGGTGAGTGTGGGGATAAGTGTGGATATATATATGCGCAAGTAGTACATACGTGACTCAAATAGATATATTATCCAGATATATATATATATTCTTGGGTAAAGATATTTTTTCTTTTGTAGGTTACACCCAATACTAACTTGAGGACAAAAGAATAATAATAATAATAATAATAATAATAATAATAATAATAATAATAATAATAATAATAATAATAATAATAATAATAATAATAGTAACGATAATAACGGGATGTTTTGTTTATCGTTGTTGTTTACCTATAATGATACGTCATCATTACTAACCATATTCATCTACACTCATTGATGTTAGTCCGTTGAATTATATATGAAAAGAAATGATCAAAATAATTAATTATTTCACAGATTGAAATCATGATTCAATTGAAGCTGGACCATCATGGAAAACCTGGAAGCAATGTACGACCGTTTCGCTTTAGTATGGGACTCCTCAGCAGTGCGCATCCACGATCCCGCACCCCCGCGAGATTCGGACCCAGCACCTATCGGTCTCGTGCGCAAGCGCTTAATCAACTAGACCATTGAACCGGCATCCAATGGTATTAATGTCTAACTTCAACCAATCCTAGAAGTTGCGCTACCGTATACCATTGTCTTCAGTGAGCTGATATCTCACAACAGACCTGGTTGAACTCCACTGGTCACTACTTCTCAGTAGAACTCCAGGAGTATTTCATGAAGTGAGTCACTAGTAAGCAGACGATTATTATCAGAAGGGGTTTTGTGGAGATTTTAGAAATTTCACTGATTGAAATCATGAATCAGTTGAAACTAGACCATCATGGAAAACGGCCGTCCAGTGCTTCCAGGTTTTCCCTGATGGTCTAGCTTCAATTGACTTATGATTTCAATCGGTGGAATTTCTAAAATCTCCACAAACTCCTTCTGATATTTCACCATTTATTTATTTATAACTTTTTTTATATGTGGGAGAGAATAAATCAGATTCCAATGAAGGAAGAAATCAAGAAGAAAGGCTGGAAGTGGATAGGAAATCACTTAATCGTGTCATAAGGCAAGACCTCACTTGGAATCTTTAAAGGTCAAAGGAGAAGAGGAAGACTAAAGAACACATTATTGCCGAGAAATGGAGATAGACATGAGAAGAATAAACAACAATTGGATAGAACTAGAAAGGAAGGCTCAGGAGAGAGTGGGTTGGAGATTGCTGGTCGGTCACTTATGCTCCATTTGGAGTAACAGGTGTAAGTAAGTAAATAAGTTTTTTAATACAAAATTCATTTTATTTATTTACCTTCAATAGATCGTTCAACAAAATGATGTGATCTAGTTGACTGACCGCTAGGTTCTTCCCTTTCTGTCCATCTTCCGGAACTAAATATACATAAAATCATTTTTATTTACTAAGAATAAGGGCAAATAATATGAAAATATTTTATAGAAATATATTTCATTTATTTATTTATTTGAACACATAAATATTGATACAAAGGGACACCGAATACATATGTGACGTACAAATTACTTGATTTGTACGTAGAATATAATACTACCTGTGTGTCAAGACCGAAGCAAGTGGTTTCTTAAGGAGCCGCAGTCGGAGCCTTCGACCCAAAGGTCTGATCCATAAGACAGTGGAACAAAGTTAGGAGATGCGGTCTCATTGCAGCTGGTAACCGACAATTGGTCCATACCCCATTTGATCCCTCGGGATCCTGGAGCCTATATGGATCATTGGTTTGGAATGAGGGTTTTCCAACTCCCCTATGTGGATCCTCCATATCCACCAACCTGGTTAATGTGTCGTACATTCACTTTTCTTTCTCTCAATTTTGTAAACAACAATGATGCTCCGAGAAAGCAGTAAGTCTTCCCTAGCTGTACACGCGTGTCCATGTGAAAGCATTTCGAGTGGGAGAGCTGACTCTCCCCACCCTAGGCCGTACCAGGGCATTTGGGGACTATAAATATATAATAAATAATCAATAATTGACATTGTAACACAGTGTCGCAGAAGTCAACAATGATGACGTTTCAACCAATAACAAAATTTTTGTATCCTTGAGAAAGAGAAAAAAATTATAAACACGGTCAATCTGATCAGTATCTTGGCTAAATGTGCGAACCAATATGGAATCCGATATTTATCAAACTTGCCAATGGTTGAACATTTTTCATAATCAATTAAAGATTGGATAATATATTCATTGCCTACTTCATTTATAACCCATGTTCTCCAGTCTTCAGTGGTAGACTTGGATAAAGTATAAACACATCACCCTATGTATGTATATAACAATGCTGACAAGTGTTAGGGGCAGCCAAACCAAAACGTGGTATCAGTCTGTAAAGTTACTGACTTCTGGCCTGAGCCATATTGATAGATGCAGACTACTTGGCTAGGGTTTGCGTGACTATCGCAACCAATGGTTGGAGAGTCTCGGTGACATGGTTTAGAATCAATCACAATGACGTTGGTGTATACAGTGGTTGTCTTTCCTTAAACCGTGAGATTGAAATGACTTTATACCTTTTTGCGAACTAATTCTTTCTCCCAGTACTACATCTTTAGATTCAAATCTCTCTTTTATATATTACCATCACTGAATTAACTACTTTTGTGAATTCGGTTTTCATCTTGTTGGGCTAATGAGGTGCGGCAACTTGAACCGATGTATATGTGTGCCTGGTCAAACGTTGTAACTGACTTACTGAAACAACAGCTTTGTGGAGTCACACCCAACCGTACCTGCTACCTTGACGTGGTGGTCGAGTTCGCTTATCGTGATGACCCAGCCAAGCTATATTGGCTGAAATAACCGTTCCTCAAGGTCCTACCATGTCAGACAGGTCGATTGGAGAACAGTAAGACTAAAAGCAGCAACTCATGGTCGGTGGGCGAAGTCGTATTGCTGACTGTAGAAGGGTGTGACAGCAGCAACGTGTTTCCCTCAGGCAATTAACATCTGCGGCGATGCTGCCTTCTCACAAGGAAAGGAGGAGTTGGAAAAGGTCGACCCTAAAAATGTCACACCTCACCTAACCTCACGGATTTCCGTTTCCGGCGGTAAGGCCCTTTGTAGAACGGAGCTAACACGTCAAAAACTTCCCACAAAAATGCCGCGCGCAATTGGCCACAAGCAATTGTCTTTTGGGCTCTGCGGTCATGCTCCCAGGTCGTTAAGTCCAATACTAATTCAACTTCCTCTTCAGGTTCCTCAAAAAATACCCGTCCACGGTGTGAGCATCCGGGATGTGAAATGAGCCCTCACACCCGTATCAGCACACGAGACCAATTTGGGCACAATCAAATCCTTTGTGGAATCACAAGTTCGCAGCATATTATATCATATCTATTCGACTGAGTTCGCTTTGTAATTACACTCACAGTGATAGGAGTAACATTTGTAACCAGAATAAAAATCAGTTTTCTCTTTTTTACCACACCCATCGTCGCCTCAATTATCTTTGTTTATATATTGGATTTTGGTTTTAATAGATCGTTGAGATATTCAGGAAAATATCCCAAAAATTATTCTATCAAGTCTAATGCTATTCTTGGACTTGGAGATGGTATTATTCTCTTATTGGTCAGTACTTATTTCACGTGTCTTTTTCCTACTGGTCAATATTGTACAATGTTATTTTCCATTTTATGGTACGATGCGGTCTGCTTGATTAGTATATAAACAGAGTGTGTTTGAAATATAATGATTCATATCTCAGAGGCTGTGACTTGTGTTCTGGACTCAAATGGCTGGGCTAGACAGGGAAGCGGGACCAATCAGAACCCCAGGTCGTTCTGCGTGTTTGCGTGTCTTTGGTCCGATCAATAATTCGCTACCCCTTAATCAGCAGCATTTTCACGTTATAACATAGATCCATACTACTTATTGTTTAAGGATACTGTCATTTTTACTTTCGAAATAGATCATCTTCTTATGGAAAACAAACATTTCTGCTGAAACATGAAATAGATTCAGATGTATGTCAAAGTTTGGATAATCTATACAAAATATAAAACAATTGATAGGAAGATATTCTCTATTGATGAATGATATAGACAGAACTGAAGTTTAAGAAATCAAATACCTGTTAACTATTAAAGTTTATAGATATAATTGATAACATAATTGATGATAAAAAACTGTTTCAAATTACTTACACATTATTATGGGGTTGTTTATGATGTGGTGATGTCGCTGTTGAATAGGATGGAACATGAACATTTAATTCATTACGTGGTCGATAATTTCCTGATCCTGATCGATTAGAATGATGAGATTGATGTGGGTTCTGTTTTTCATGTGAATGAGATTTTGTATTTGATATTAGAGAATCTTGTGCATCTAATAATCGACTATAAGCAGCAATTTCCGCTTCTAAATTCAATTTTGCATCAGTCAATGAAGATAATTCTTTATGAAGTCTTGTTAAAGCTTCCTCAGCTGATTGTTTATCATGTTCAGATTCAGCAAGAAGTTTATTCAGTTGATTCCGTAAATTTCTTGACTCTTCAACTGAATCATTTAAAGAACGTTCCAGTTGATCACACTAAAATATGAGAAAATTTGAGAAATATTATTTACTTTTATCGACAATACAGATTACAAATGATTTAAGTATTATGTTTGTGTGAATTTTAATTATTAATCTGCTGAAATTTATTGAATGATCTTTTGAAATCTAAATTCTTTAACAGATCTATTTATACTAACATGAAACAGTTGCTAAGCCCTCAAATAGCCTGATACGGCTGGGAGTGAGGAAAGTCACCTCTCCCACTCGAAATGCTCTCACATGGTCACGGGCATACAACAGCTGCCACACAAGTCCTACTCACCGCCTTCTTGCGACATCCCTGTTTACGAAATTGGGAGGACGAAAAGAAAGTGTTCGGTGCTTTAGCTGGGTTGATGGATATGGAGGATTCACATAGGGGAGTTGGAAAACCCCCATTCCGAACCAATGGTCCACATAAGCTCCAGGAACCCGAAGCATCAAATGGCGTATGAACCAATTGTTGGTGACCGACTACCATGAGACTGAATCTCCTGACGTTGTTCCACTGTCTTGTGGATTAGACCTTTAGGTCAAATGTTGGTGATGTGGCCCCTTAAGAAACCACTTGCATCGATCTGTGCACCTGGGCAGTATCTCAAGCCTCACATAAATCGAATGATTTATGTGGAGCATATATGTTTGTTGCCTCTTTGTACCACTGTTTATGTGTTTAAATAAATAATACATAAAAATGACATAATGTAGACGATATTGTTCGAATCATATTAGATATGATCGTCTTTCATTGACACTGAAACTATAACCCAGTACCCAGAACTTCAAATATTATTGTCTGGCCTAAGAAGTTAAATAAACAACAGAGTGAAATCTATATCATAATACTAAACCTACTTGAATATTGAACCTATCAAAACAGAAATGTCTGTCAATTCACATCTACCCTATATAAAATACCCTGGTTATTCTAATGAATGAAGTCTATTAGTACTGTAAAAATGTACTTTAATTATCTACTGGTATCTATTCTAATTAACCACTTAGTTGACCATACCTAACAACCTTACCTATATGTATGATTGCTGGTGTTTTTTTCTAGCTTAATGAAACAGAAATAACATACATACTTCTCTTAATAGAAGTTCATTTAACAAAAGAGTATCATTTAAAAATAATTATTGCATAGTAATAATAGACTTACTCTTGCACGTAATTGATCATCACGACCTCGTGTACCTTCTAAAGCACTTTTAAGTTTTGAATTTTCTTCTTGTAATCTATTAAATTCAGTTCGTTGTGATGAATCTTGTCTATTTAATTCATCCAACTAAAATAAATCAAAGAAAACAAGTAAAGTTATCGATAAAATTTGATAAGGACGCTGGTTACTACTTCATGATCAATCAATTGTAAATATATACGTGCTACATGATGGTAATCATGATCAGAACTGTTCAAAGGAAGCATCTTAAACTATAAAACTGGGTTATGCCGTTTTGAATCCCATAAGAATCATCACTTCTAGATTGTAAGCAAACCTTTCGTGACAAGCTAAAACTAACTTCATGAGCTGGTTGGGGTTAGACATTAACACCATTGGATGCCGACTCAGTGGTCTAGAAGTTAAGCGTTCGCGTTCGAGGCTGAATGTCCTGGGCTGGAATCCCGCAAGGCGGGATCTTGAATGCGCACTGCTGAGGAGTCCCACAATAGGATGAAACGGCCGTCCAATGCTTCCAAGTTTTCAATAGTGGTCTAACATCAGTCAGTCCATGATCTCAATCAAAAACTTGGAACCTAGTTCGTGTGGAGTATCATACCGACCAGCTCCAATCACTTTACAATGCTAAAAAAAACAATCCAAGTTACTTGATACAAGAAGATAAATTTAGATTATCAATGACGTAGCACAACATTAATGTGTACTGAACAAGCCGATACTTTCTTTGAAGACAACGTATTCTGATTTACACAACTAAGTCTTTAGAATAGACAAAAGAGATAGGCATATTATAATTCTTTGGAAAATCAATGTTTTATTTGAGTAACGAGATAAAATTGTTGAATAACACAGAAACAATAGTAGTTAACCTTGCTTAATTCTAACCAAAAACTAACATCATGTACAACATAAACATTCTTATCCAAATAAATCATACATATAACTCCCACAATGTAATGACGAAAATAAACGTCTGGGGAAATCAAATCTCAAAATGTAGAATAAATGTATCAGATATGAATCTAGCTTTAAAAAATTTGTTTTCAACACTTGATGTATTATCCAGTTTTTAATTAGTTTGCTTCATTCACTACACGATATCATACTTCCTAAAAAGGGCTGATACCATCGATGAACAAGGAGGATCCGATGCAGACGTAAAGGCGAGGATCGGCAAAGCAAGGGTCGCATTCCTACAATTGAAGAACATATGGAACTCAAAAAAACTTTCAACCAATATCAAAGTAAGAATCTTCAATACGAACGTCAAGGCAGTTCTACTGCATGGAGCTGAAACTTGGAGAACTACAACAACCACAATCAAGAAAGTACAAGTATTTATAAATAGCTGTCTACGCAAGATACTCAACATCCATTGGCCGGATACCATCAGCAATAGCCTTCTGTGGGAGAGAACAAACCAACTTCCAGCTGAAGAAGAAATTAGGAAAAGACGATGGAAATGGATAGGACATACATTACGCAAATCGTCAAACTGCATCACGAGGCAAGCCCTAACTTGGAATCCTGAAGGGAAGCGAGAAAGAGGAAGACCAAAGAACACATTCCGTCGGATAATAGAAGCAGACATGAAAACGATGAATTACAGCTGGACGGAGCTAGAAAGGATTGCCAGGGACAGGGTTGGATGGAGAATGCTGGTGAGCGGCCTAATATTATCAGTAATATATTCATACATTTCTTATTATTTCACAGCTATTCGTATACAGAGTTTATTGGATTTCATGATTTACATCACGAACAAACCTAAGTCAGACAACTACTATAAACCAGAGAACATTGGAAAGCTGTTTTGTTCTGGTATGGGACAACCGCTTCAGTGGTCGAACCCAGGATACTCAACTTCCTAACCGATATTGTGTAGCCATTATCTGATATCATCGATAAATAACTGGCCCAGACTTAATATAGCTGAACTTCACTAGCCATAGCTTTTCACTAGAACTCTTAGAATAATCTCTTGAAATAAATCACTAATTAGCATATTTTTATTATTAATAGTAGTATAGACGGATCATAGAAATTAATGGATTTTATAGTTTTGTAGGTATTATGCTTGTAATAATAATAGATCTGTTTCTATTGAAATTCTATGGAGATATTTGGTGAAATTTCCTAATTAGTTTTGTTATTCACACTTATATTAAAGGGAGAAGATCAATGGATATTGATTATATCAAGAAGTACAATATAAATGAAATAAACTAAACGTGAAAACTACATGGTACCGTAGGTCAACAAGTCATATGATAAATAATCAATGAAAATGAGCACATTAGATAACTGTACTATTGAAATAAATGTGATTTTTATAAATGAAAATAAGGTAAATAGTTGCTATTATCATCATCAACAACATCATCATCATCCTTATACACATATAGATGTATAGATGTATATAACGTAATGATACCGCCAATCAGAGAACAGTGATTTATCGACTGGACCAATGATGCATAAATCCATACGAGTAGTCTAAATTCCTTATCATCAGTCCTTTTTTCTGCCTAGCCCTACCTGTTCAGTTCAGAACATCAATAACAGCTTCCACTATGCGAATCATTTATTTCAAACATACTCGGTTTATATAAAATTCAAACAAACCACATCGTGCCATAAAATAGAAAATAACATTTGTACAAGATCTATCCAAAAGTGGTTGTGAATATGGGAAACTGTAATCAATAGACTGGACATAACTCAAAAACGGCAAACCGTATAATAATAAACTGTGAATCAAAATGAAGCTTACGATAGGAGAAACATGAATCTGCATAGTTTCGCTACCTAACAATTATACAATAAAATTATATGTATAGTATTAGTTCATAAATAGTTCTCAAGAGTTACCATTCAGTATTCTCGTCGGGATATAACAGTGTGCAATATCTTTGTAGTAAATCTGAAAATTTATTCATTTCACGAAAATATAAACTGATTACTCCTATTCGGATAAGAGTCCTCTATAGAGAGTTGGTGATATAATTTTTAAACATGGATCTTGCTAATGCTCCGTTTATTATGATGAAGTTTTGTTCTCTGAGCTGGATAGTTTGGTCGTGGAGCTTTCATCGTTCTTCTGAACGACATCATCAACGCAAACTTCAGATAGAAGTGAAGTGTGTTTCACGTATATGGAGAAATTCGAACACTTCACTTCTATCTGAAGTTTGTGCTGATGATGTCGTTCAGAAGAACGATGAAAGCTCTACGACTAAACCATCCAGCTCTGAGAACAAAAGTTCATCAAGATCACCCACCTGAGCTACAATTCTTCTCCACCAGCTCAGTTGATTATCATCAAAAAAATGCATAGATATCTATAAACAAACATTTATGCAAGATACTCCATATCTGTTCACCAGAGACCATTAGTAATAAACTGGTGTGGCAGAGAACAAACCAGTTGTCACTTGCAATGAAAATGAGAAAACAATGTCGGAGGTGGATATGAAAATGTACAGAAACCATCAAATTTCATAAGAGAGGAATCCCTAACTTGGAATCTTAAAGGCATGAAGAAGAAAGACAAAGCAAAGAATACATGCCCCCGATTCCCGGGGGCACATATTAAGATAATGAGTACCGCTTGGCCATAACTGCAAGGCAGAGTCTAGGTTAAAGCTCATTAGAGATTTTTGGTCGATAGTCTATGGCCTAAGAGAAGTAGCGGGCCTAAACATAATCAGTGAAGTGAGTTCGGTATTGTGGCGTTCTCTGAGCTAAATGATTTAATTTTAAAGCTTTAAGTGACGTTTTAGACAATATCATCGTCTACATCTAGAGGGCGCTGATGATTTTGTTGTCCGGTGCAACAATGAGAGCTCCATAATTAAATTCTCAATAACACCGAACGTACCCAACTGAGCTGTAAACCTCCTTCATCATTTTAATGTAAGGTGAATAGTTGAGCAAAACAGTGAACATTGACAAAGTTTTGCCGGTTAGTTTAGATGATAATAACAAATAGTGATTGAATATATCCATATTGGTAAACGTAATAGTTTATCTACTTAATGCCTTAATTTAATTAGATTACTCTTTTTCACTCACACTACTGATTTCATTGCCTTGATCAAGCTGTGTGGGGAGATGCAGAAATCTTACTTGGGCTGCATGTAATAGTTGTACGATATGACTTGAAACTGATGACAATAAGCCGAATCCAAGTTTTAACATTATTCCAAAATATTTATTCCATGAATTCATTCATTCTTTTCGACCTATGTTCCACGTTAAGTTTTCTCAACATTATTATAGACACTACTATCATTCACTTTCGTTTCTTTGCTACTTATCTTGTTAATTACCTCTAACGGTTATTAACCTAACTGATTTTCTTTTCGAAGACTTAATCATGAGACTTCGGTTGAAAAAGCTTACTTATAGTTCACAATTTTAGTTATGTTATCAACGTAAATTAGTTCGTCAGTTGAGAATTTCATTACGCTACATAACAGAATGATCATATGAGACATGCTATAATTTGCCCATTTTAAGACACGAGATTACATCATCTTTAGTATTCATTTCCTCTTAATGAAACTCTACAAAGCGACTGGGGCATAGAACATCTGGAAGAAGTAGTGAAGTAATTAGTTAGTAACAGGTAGTCTTGGCCCTTCCCTCTTCTCAAAGCTGACATTTAATACATTTAAACCTATATTCATGACATCATCTATAGTTTAAAATGTAGACGGCGGATTAAAACTCAGTGTTTCAATAGTATTGTATACATGCTATCAAAATTTAAATATTCTATTGCCGACCTTCTGTGGGGTCATCGTTCACCACTAATAAGCAGTGTCAAATCCTCTTTTGTTCTCAACGGTTGCTCAGTTATGATCAGTTTAGAACAAAAATCATCTGCGTAATAAGTTGTTATTTCAATGTCTGTTTTAATTCTTAGAAGTTTCAAATCGGCATAAAAAAATATCCCTTGGGTGTTAGCTTCATGAACAAACTTACTCTCAATATATAACTTTGTTCCATCTCTTCACGAATACGATCTAATCGATTATCATATTCCAGTTTAATATCACGAATCGTCTTTTGCATTAATTGACGCCAATGTTCAACATCTTGATCATCGTTAACAGTATTATTTATTGAACGTAATTCTTCAATTTCTTGTTGGTGTACACGACGATAAAATTCCATTTCTTCTTTTAATGTTTGCATTTCTGATTGACACGTCATACGACTAGCTGTTTCTTCATCTAAGTTCTGTGTAATAGGATTTAGTGGAAAAAAAATAGATACGATATCATAGTTATGATGTGATTTACATGAAAATCAGTATAATAATACATGGGTTGTATGGGAATACCAATTGCTGAAGAGTTCAGGAGTAAGTTAAAACATTCGTTTTCAATGATCTCCCAGATGATACCAAACTATGATAACCAAAATCTCCCAACAAACTTTTTGTCAACCATATAGTCTAGACAGACTTCAGATAGATAACAAGTGGAAATAAGAATACACCGGGCAGTTGTCCTTTTTTCTAGTACTAAACTCAGCTGTACGTATCTACGAAACCATTGGGGATCTGATCGAGCGCTTTCAGATCTTGAGGCAGAAGCTTGAACTTTAAACAACTGAATTAGCAAACAATTGTTTACATTTCTAGAGTTAATTAATTTGTAATATTGTACGACGAAAGGCCTGTGTTTCAAAATTACAGAACATCTTAGTAAAATCTGAGAATCATACAGTGAATACCTAATTTGAAAAATGTCAATAAATTATCTCAAACTTGACTGTTCCTTTTGCAAATGTCAGTCAACAGTCTCAGACATCATTGATCCTTCATTTCCACACAAATCATTCATTGTTCTCGTTCTATTCTCATCTTCTCATCTTCTTAGCATTCTGCCACCAGCTATTTCACTTTACATTGATGATACATACTACTAATATCTATCGACATCAGTAACACACAACACAATACCATATTCAATTCACTATACCGTAAATTTTCTCATATAAATAATCTCTTATTCTATGTCATTAACAGTTAGAACTGATTGGAATTTAGAAGATTTGTTCAACTAGGTTCTTGTTTAAGACGAAACGGTCGTACAATGCTTATAGCTTTCCCACGGTGATCTAGCTTTAATTGACTCATGAACTCAACCCCATTATCTGAATGACATGGAGTCGTTGATTCGTCATCATTAGAAATGTAGTAACAAACCAATGTGATCTTCAAATGATCATTCAGATAAATAAAATTAATGAGAAATAATGGAGTTGTAGAATGGTGTCAGTTCACAGATATTCACCATGAGAATCCATAAAGTTACATAGTGATTAACACTTCATAGCTGTTATTACTTGTGTATTTAATGGAAAACTTAACAAGGGATTATTAGTTAACATTATAAATGCCATCTCATACTGGTTCATTTTACTCATCGATCATCTTGTATACTGTACATAAATGACTGCCACTTTAAGAATACTTAGCAATATATACAAAACAGTCACTAATGCCACATTACTGTCATGACAGAACAAATGTAAATCATCAATACCTATGTGAGATTTGTCATAATTATTTATTTGTAAGTATTCAGCAACTTGAAATTCTGAAGTGAAACAAAAAGGAGGTAGGCCAAAGAACATACTACGTTAAAATTGAAAATAGACATGAAAGGGATGAATAGCAACTGGAAACAACTGGGAATGATTACTGAAAACAGAGTTCCATGGAGAATGCTTATGAGAGACCTATATTACTCCACGAGGGATAACAGGCGTGAGTATGTATTTAGGTCTTTAATATTATTATTATTATTTAAACACATAAACATTGATACAAGGAGGCACCAAATAGATATGCGCCACATCAAGTCATTCGATTTATGTGAGGACTGTGGTACTGCCTGGGTGCCCAGACCGAAGCAGGTGGTTTTCTTAGGGGCCCACACCCCGAGCCTTTGACCTAAAAGTCTGATCCACAAGGCAATGGAGCATCGTGAGCAGATGCCCTCCCATGGTAGCCGGTGACCAAAAATTGGTTCATACGCCATTTTTTCTTGCAGGATACTGGAACCCATGTGTACCATTGGTTTGGGGTCCGGTTGCAGAGCCGGACATTCGCTTTTCGTCTTCTCAATTTCGTAAACAACAGTAATACCACGAGAAGGCAGTGAGTAGGACTTCCCAGATAGTGGCTGTATACGCGTGGCCATGTGAGAGCATTTCGAGAGGGAGTTCGGGCCCACCCCACTCTCGGCCATACCAGGGAATTTGGAGGCGAGGTCTTTAATAACTAACAATATATATATATATATATATATATATATATATATATATATATATATATATATATATATAATCAACAATTTACTGACAATAATAAGTCATTAATTATTAAAATGTTAAACCGAGTATTCTTCAACAGGGTTCGTCATAAGTCGTCTGATTGAACGTTAGATTCAGTTTCTTAAGCTCTCTAGTAACTGAATACTAATACTAGTACTAATGCTAATACTATAAAATGATAATTTAATAAAGAAATGATGCATTTTTAAATTCAAATGACAAATAATAATAATATAAAACTACACTTAAAAGTACTATCTAATATGCATAGATTAGTTCTTTTAAATAATGAAAAATTTTTTTGAAAAGTCATTCATTACTCGCTTTTTTTTTGTTTAAACTAAAAGTTTAAGCGCGAAATGTAGTTTTATTTATTCTATTGGACAATTTATTCATTCATTCATTCATTCATCCATCCATCAATTCATCAAACGTATCATTATGCATTACATTTTATAATGTACTTTTATATGGTTGGTTATAATAGGATATGACATAAGTTAATTATTCACTTGATTATGTTTATTTTCTTCTATAATTAAATATGTAGAAAATCATTTATCTGTTTTACATTGTCTTTGTCTTTCGCATAGCAACATACGTACTTCCCCCTCCCCCCCCCAATACACTCACATACACACACACACACAGTCCTTTTAGTTTCCTTTATTTTAAATATGAATTTCATTGACCGTAAAAATGAAAAGAAAAACAAGTTAGAAACAGCTGATCTCGTTTGGTTTTTTTTGGTAGTAAAATTTATTCATCATCTGACATTGTTTCTTTAATTTCTTCTTTTTGACTCTTCAATCTCATGAGAATAATGTCAAACTTATTTTAATTTTATTTGTTTGATTTATTATTTTTATTAATATTCTTTAGAATATTGTGCTTAAATGTTTATAAGTTACATAATTTCAATAGTTAAGATCATGAGTCGAACCCAGAACACTTATCAGTCTCACGCGCGAATGATTAACCACTAGACCACTGAGCCGGCCGGCATCTAACCGTGTTAATGTCTAACCTCAACCAATCCACGAAATTGACCGACACATCCACCATTGTCATCATTGAGTTACTATCTCACAGCAAACATTGTTGAACTCTATTGGTCACTGCTTCTCAATAGAACTCCATGAACTACCTCTTGAAGCCAGTCACTAGTGAGTATTTTTTATTATAATCAGAGAGGGGTTTTGTGGAGATAATATGTCAAATGAAGCTAGACCATCATAGAAAACCTGTAAGCATTGGACGAGTCAATTAAAGCTAGATCACTATGGGAAAGCTGTAAGCATTGTACGACCGTTTCGTCTTAAACAATAACCTAGTTGGACAAATCTTCTAAATTCCAATCAGTTCTAACTGTTAATGACATAGAATAAGAGATTATTTATATGAGAAAATTTACGGTATAGTGAATTGAATATGGTATTGTGATGTGTGTTACTGATGTCGATAGATATTAGTAGTATGTATCATCAATGTAAAGTGAAATAGCTGGTGGCAGAATGCTAAGAAGATGAGAAGATGAGAATAGAACGAGAACAATGAATGATTTGTGTGGAAATGAAGGATCAATGATGTCTGAGACGATTGATTAACTTTTTGAAAATGAAGTCATTACTTTATAGTTCTCAGATTTTACTAAGAGATTCTGTAACTTTGTGTCTAGATACATCTGATTGTCCCCAATTGTGTTCTTGTTCGACACGCTATTCGTTTAAGACAACAATGTCATAGTCAATAATTTGTAGTGAAAATAACTGGGATTTTTTTATTTCATTTGGGTTATTTTTTATATTTCTCTATTATCGCAAAAACTGACGTACCAGTTTGATAGTAGTTTCCACCCAGAAATGATGATCACGTTTGTCTATCGTGATAACTCAATCAAGCTGTGTTAGCTGGAATATTTCTTTAAATCCTACCATGCCAAATAGTTCAGTTAGGGAAACATAAGATTAAAAGCAACAAATTTACAGTTCAAAAAAGAAGCCCTACTGCTGATTGTACCTGTGTATGATAGCAGAAAGCTGCTTCTTTCATATAACTAGAATGTTCAACGATGCTGCCTTCACACAATGAGAGGGAGTTGAGAAATCGCGATCTTTAAAATAGTACATTTGTATCTGTCCCATGAATCCTCTTCATCAATGGTCAGGCTTTAAGATTACGTAGATACAACATCAAGAACTACTGTCGAAAATCCCACATGTGATCGGTCTCAAACAGTTGTCCAGTGGGCTCTGTAGTTACGTGCTCAGGTCACCAAGACCAATAATAATCCAGTTACCTAGTCACATTTCCCTCTTTGTCTGCTATTTGAAGAAACAAAAGACTATTGCACTGGACTTATCCGCATTCAACATTTGATAAACATAAAAACATAATTGTAACACATAAACTTATATAGAACTTGCTCTATTGAAGGTAATGACTGTTGAAAAACATCTATAAAATATAATTATTGTATCAATACAGCTTGAATGTGTGTTAAGGGGAAATTTATCGTCATATGTCATAACTCATATTGACCAACGATTAGCCACTGTCACAAAATACATTGTATTGAATAAAGTAGCTTCTATAGTTAAAGTTCTTTAAAACTGGATTCAAGTAACTAATAAAGATTATGTTTAAATCATACAAAAATAGACTTTCTTATAATACGAATATGTTATGATAAGAATGGGGATTTGTGTAGATAATAGTGATTTTCATAGTTGATTTCATGAGTCGATAGAAGCTAGACCATCATTGAAAACATTAACACCGTTGAATATCGGCTCATTGGTCCAGAGGTTAAGCGTTTGCTCGCGAGATCGAAAGTCCTAGGTTTGAACTCCGAGTGTGGGATCGTGGATGCGCACTGCTCACTAGTCCCATACTAAAACGAGATAGCCTTCTAGTGCTTCCAGGTTTTCAACAGTGGTCTAGTTTCGATCGATCCATGAATTCAACGAATAAAATCACCATAGAAATAAATATATTGATTAAATATAATAATTTATGAGCGCGTAATCTTAACTTCGGTAGAATGTAATTTATCAACTTATCATTAATTTTAAGCATCATTAAAATATCCGCCAATAAGTCAACACAGTTCAAATCTTCAATCAACAAACGGAACAGAATGGGATAAGAAGTGCTTATGTAGTTGTATCCATACACCACACAGCCAACTCAGTTAGAATGATGTCACAGTTTCATTGACTAATTTACTTAAATATCAATAAACAGTGGTGTATGTTAGTTATTTGGACAGACATAAGTAGTATTTAGCACGAAGTAGAATGCTTACAATCAGAAGAGTGAAATAAAATGAAGTAGAAAGAAAATGAAAAGCAATTGGTATAACAGAAGGATCAGAAGAATGAGGAAGTATGTAAAAGACAACTGAAGGAAAAATAACATGCAAATGATGTATTTAATGTAAGATTTCCTGTGTGTCTGAGTTTTCACTCACTACACTATCAATAAACTTCAGTGTTAGAAAGCAACATAGTGAATACTGTCTGAAATGTATGTTTATCTTTTAAGATACATTCAAATATTACCGAAATGTTACAATAGTAAATAAAGAACTACCAAACGATTTATATCTCATCAATCACAACGTCAAGAAAGTTGTACTGTACGGAGCTGAAACTTAGAGAACTACTACAACCATCATCAAGAGAGTACAAGTATTTATAAATAGCTGTCTACACAAGATACTCAACATCCATTGACCGGATACCATCAGCAACAGTCTACTGTGAGAGAGCACAAACCAACTTCCATCTGAAGAGGAAATTAGGAAGAGACGAAGGGAATTGATAGGACATACATTACGAAAATCACCAAACTGCATTACGAGGCAAGACCTAACTTACAATCCTGAAGGGAAGAGGAAAAGAGGAAGGTCAAAGAACACATTACGTCAGAAACAGAAGTAGATATTGAAAGAGATGAATAACAACTGGGAAGAGCTGGAGAGAATTGCTTAGGACAGAGTTGAATGGAGTGTGCTAGTGGGCATCCTATGCTCCTCCACGAGGAGTAACAGGCGTAAGTAAGTAGGTAACCACAATACGATCTTGACAAATAAAACTCTCCATACAGACAATACTTTTGACATATCCAACCAAATTCAATTCACTATATAAGTAATTATGTAATCGATATTATAAAACTAAAATTGAAAAAAAGTAACATAAAAATTTATTTGTCTATTTTAAATCTTTAATTTACTTTATGCAATTGACTATTCGCTTGTTTCTGTTGTTCAGCTGTTGTACGCCATCGATGTGCCTCTTCTTCGGCTTGTTTAATATGACGTTCTAATTGAAGTTTGTCAGCATCTTTAATACTAGATTCTTTTAAAGCATCATCCAGTTGTTTTGCTAAACGTTGATTATTTTGATTTAATTGATTAATTCTAAAAGTGTAAAAGTAGTATATAAGTAGTTTGTATAAAAATATACTACTATTTAGAGTTAGTTGACAAGAAACCCTAAGGGTCATTTGACTATTTAACAACTTGAAATCTCATTCATTACCAAAATTAGTTAAACAAATCAATCAATCAACTAAGAGTTACTGTACAACTTCAGTGGAATTCTCATTAAGAACAAGAATAAAAAAGCTTGTGAAAATATTGCCCGAATTTTCGTTATGTTTAAAGTAGGAAACGGAACTTTTCACTAGCATTATTAAAACAAAATTAATAATCCTAATAACAATGCAAGTAAGCTTGTATTGAACAAGAACACGATTGGGCAGGGAGTTAGATGGGATGTATTCGAGAACAATGTTACAGAACATCTCACTAAAATCTGAGAACCATACAGTAAATACTTCATTTGAAAAGTGTCAATCCATTGTCTCGAAGTTGACTGTTCCTTTTGCAAATATTTGTCCATTGTCTCAGATTTCATTGCTCCTGCATCTTCATACCAATTACCTACCGTTTCCGTTCTTTCCTTCTCAATCTTCTACTGAAATACGTTCTATTCCTGACTATCGTGATATACTACTTATTTGGATATAAGTAGCTCACACCACAAGGTGACATGAAGAAATGAATTTCATGTAATGATTACTAACCAAATTAATCATAGATTGTATACAATACACTATTAGGAGAATCGACTCAAATAAATGAACTGAATGAAAAAAATAACTGAAACTGTTCCTTTGATCACAGTAATGAAGCTTTCAAAATCAAGAATGATAAATTAGAGACAATGTGAATATATGTATATGTACACAACTGCTTTATAACAATATTAATTATTATTATTGGTAAATATTGATAGTGGCTAGCAGTGGAATTCAGGATGCGCGTTTCGTCCTATTTGGGACTCGTCAGCTGGATGTACCTGCATCCCAGATTTAATATTCACTTTAGGACTCGAACCCAGTACCGTTCGCTTCAAACGCTACTCAACTGAACAAGCAGGTGGCTATCAAGACTCAGCAGCTAAGTGGATAACGCGATGGTATTTGGAGCGAACGGTACTGGGTTCGAGCTCCAGAGTGAACATTAACCCTGGGATACAGGACGAAACGCGTGTCCTGGATCCCACTGCTAACCACTATCTATCTTTACTTACAAACATCTCGGTAAAGTTTGAAAACCCTACAGTAAATACTTCATTTGCAAGATGTCAATCAATCATCTCAGACTTCATTGTTCCTTCATTTCCATACCAATCATTTTCTGTACTCGTTTTCTTCTCTTCAATCTTCTTAACCTTCTGCCTACCAGCAATTTCACTTTCAATCAATGATACATACTACTTATATCTATCAATATCACAATACAATAACAAAAGTTTTTTTCAAAATCAAATAAATATACTACTTACTGATCTTGTTTATTTCTTATAGTCTGTTGTAAATGTGCAATTTTTGCTAAACTATCAGCTTTTTCACGTTCACATTCATCGACTAAATGTCTTAATTGTTTTAATTCTGTATTATACATTGAACGAATTTTTTCAGTTTCTTTAGATAAACGATTAATTGATCCATTATCGTTCATTAATTTTTTATTCTGTTCAGATAAAATACGCATCTGAAACAAAAAAAGATTATTTTTTACGAAATAAAAGAAAAATTTGGTATCAGAAAGGGTTTTGTAAAGATTGTAGTAATTTCAACAGTTGAGATCATGAGTCAGTTGAAGCTAGACCGCCATGGAAAACCTGGAAGCACTGGACGGCCGTTTCATCTCACTATGGGACTCCTCAGCAGTGCGCATCCACGAGGTAGTAACTCACTGACGACAATGGTGGATGTGTCACTCAATTTTGTCGATTAGTTGAAGGGTTACTGCCGGTCCCAAGCCCGGGTAAAGGAGGAGGGTTGGGCATGGGGTTAGCGTACCATCCCGTAGAAAACTAACTCGCTAAAAAAACGCTTACCAGAAAAAATAATCCAAACCATTTCAACTCTGCCCTGGGAGTTAGAAGGTCTTCATTTAGAAGAATTATGACGCTTCATGGTGAAAGCCGAGTTCCTTCGGAAGTCACGAGGCCGATGCCCCTTCTAACAACCAGAGCAAAAATTTTTATAGGTACATGGAACGTTCGAACAATGTGGGAAACCGGGAAGACCAGTCAAATATCAATGGAAATGAGGAGATACAACTTAGCAGTACTGGGAATCAGCGAAACCCACTGGACCCAAGCTGGACAGAAAAGGCTAGCTACGGGAGAGATGCTGCTATACTCCGGTCACGAAGAGGACAATGCTCCACACACTCAGGGAGTCGCTCTTATGCTGTCCAAAGTAGCACGAAATGCACTTGTAGGATGGGAATCTCACGGATCCAGAATCATCAAAGCATCATTCAAAACAAAGAAGGAGGGGATCTCAATGAATATTATCCAATGTTATGCACCCACCAATGATAGCAACGACGAAATTAAAGATCAGTTCTACGAGCGGCTGCAGTCAATCATTGAGAAATGCCCAAGGAAGGACCTAACTATTCTGATGGAGATCTAAATGCCAAAGTCGGAATAGACAACACTGGATATGAAGATATTATGGGACGACATGGACTGGGAGAAAGAAACGAAAATGGAGAAAGATTTGCAAATCTATGTGCATTCAACAAGTTGGTCATAGGAGGCACAATATTTCCACACAAGCGTATACACAAGGCTACATGGATCTCACCGGACCACACTACAGAGAACCAAATAGATCATATTTGCATCAACAAAAAATTCCGAAGGACAATGGAAGATGTGAGAACCAGGAGAGGTGCTGACGTAGCTTCAGATCACCACCTAGTTGTAGCCAATTTAAAACTGAAGCTAAAAAGGAACTGGACAACTGGACAAACAGCAATACAAAGGTTCAATACAGCCTTCCTTCGAGATACTGACAAACTCAATGAATTCAAGATAGCTCTCAACAACAGGTTCCAAGCCTTACAAGATCTACTGAAAGAAGAAGAAACTAGTATGGAGGACAACTGGAAAGGCATCAAGGAAGCATTAACTTCAACGTGTCAAGAGGTGCTGGGTCTAAAGAAATACCATCATAAGGAATGGATCTCTACAGAAACACTGGACAAGATCAAAGAAAGGAAGAACAAGAAGGCAGCAATAAACAACAGCCGAACACGAGCAGAGAAAGTCCAAGCACAAGCTGAATACATAGAAGCAAACAAACAAGTGAAGAGGAGCATTAGAGCCGACAAGAAGAAGTACGTGGAAGAACTAGCAACGACGGTGGAAAAAGCTGCTAGAGAAAGAAATATGAAACAACTTTACGATACAACGAAGAAACTAGCAGGGAAATACAGTAAACCAGAGAGGCTGGTCGAAGACAAAAGAGGCAAGTCAATCACCGAAATTCAACAACAGCGTAACAGATGGGTAGAATACTTCGAAGAGCTCCTGAATAGGCCGGCTCCAATGAATCCAGTGGACATCGAAGCAGCACACATAGATCTTCCTATAGATGTCAATCCACCAACTACGGAAGAAATTAGAATGGCCGTCAGACAAATCAAGAACGGGAAAGCAGCAGGACCCGACAACATACCAGCTGAAGCACTGAAATCAGACATCGAAGCAACCACAAGCATGCTTTATCTTCTATTCAAAAAGATTTGGGAGGAGGAACAAGTGCCGATGGACTGGAAAGAAGGACACCTCGTCAAGATTCCAAAGAAAGGAGATCTGAGCAAATGTGAAAACTACAGAGGCATAACACTACTGTCAATACCAGGGAAAGTCTTCAACAGAGTGTTGCTGAACCGGATGAAAGATGCAGTAGACGCCCAACTTCGAGATCAACAAGCTGGATTCCGTAAGGATCGGTCGTGCACAGACCAAATTGCAACACTACGGATCATCGTCGAACAATCAGTTGAGTGGAACTCATCACTATACATCAACTTCATTGATTATGAAAAGGCATTTGACAGTGTGGATAGGAGGACATTATGGAAACTTCTTCGACACTACGGAGTTCCTGAGAAGATTGTCAATATTATCCGGAACTCATACGACGGACTACAGTGCAAAGTAGTGCATGGAGGACAGCTGACAGATGCATTCCAAGTAAGGACCGGAGTCAGACAAGGCTGTTTACTCTCTCCCTTCCTCTTTCTTCTGGTGGTCGACTGGATTATGAAGACCTCAACATCTGAAGGAAAACACGGAATACAATGGACAGCTCAGAACCAATTAGACGATTTGGACTTCGCAGACGACCTAGCCCTCCTATCACGTACACATGAACAGATGCCGATGGAGACAGTCAGTGTAGCAGCAGCCTCTGCATCAGTAGGCCTTAGCATACACAAAGGGAAAACCAAGGTCCTCAAATTCAAAGCGGAGAACAGCAATCCAATCACACTTGATGGCGAAACTCTGGAAGATGTAGAGTCCTTCACATACCTGGGAAGCATCATCGATGAACAAGGAGGATCCGATGCAGACGTAAAGGCGAGGATCGGCAAAGCAAGGGCCACTTTCCTACAACTGAAGAACATATGGAACTCAAAACAACTTTCAACCAATATCAAAGTGAGAATCTTCAATACGAACGTCAAGGCAATTCTACTGTATGGAGCTGAAACTTGGAGAACTACAACAACCACAATCAAGAAAGTACAAGTATTTATAAATAGCTGTCTACGCAAGATACTCAACATCCATTGGCCGGATACCATCAGCAATAGCCTTCTGTGGGAGAGAACAAACCAACTTCCAGCTGAAGAAGAAATTAGGAAAAGACGATGGAAATGGATAGAACATACATTACGCAAATCGTCAAACTGCATCACGAGGCAAGCCCTAACTTGGAATCCTGAAGGGAAGCGAAAAAGAGGAAGGCCAAAGAACACATTGCGTCGGATAATAGAAGCAGATATGAAAGCGATGAATTACAACTGGACGGAGCTAGAAAGGATTGCCCAGGACAGTGTTGGATGGAGAATGCTGGTGAGCGGCCTATGCTCCTTCACTGGGAGTAACAGGCGTAAGTAAGTAAGTACTGTTGGATGTCGGCTCAGTGGTCTAGTTGGTTAAGCGCCTAGTGCGAGACTGGCAGGTCCTGGGTTCGAATCCCGCGAGGCGGGTTCGTGAAGGCGCGCTGTTCAGGAGTCCCACAATAGGACGAAACGGCTGTCCAGTGCTTCCAGGTTTTACATGGTGGTCTAGCTTCATTTGACTCATGATCTCAACTGTTGAAATTACTACAATCTCCACAAAACCCCTTCTGATAATAAGTTAACTTCAATGTTTCTGCGTCAACAACACATTCATTTACTTTTCTATGTAAAAATATTTAATTTAACTCGTGAATTTTTATTTGAGATCATGAAGCGATTGATGTTAGACCACTCTTGAAACCTGAAAGCACTGCACGGCTGTTTCTTCCTATTGTGGGGCTCCTCAACAGTGCGAATCAACAATCCCGCCTCGCGGGATTCGAACCCAGAGCCTTCAGTCTCGTGCGCGAACGCTTAACCTCTAGACCACTGAGTCGGCATCCAATGGTGTTAGTGTTTAACATCAACATCGTGAATTTTTACTCAACCTATTCGAAAAAAGAAAAAGTACCAAATATTAGATGACTGAAAGTTATTAGCAAAAACAACAGTCAGGAAACTCCACCTTACATTTTATGGGAACTGACAATCTCTATAGGATTTAAATCCACACCGCAGAGCTTTACAGTCTGAAACTTTATATCTGACCTATTTCAGCCACAGATGATCTGCTGCAGAACTTAAATCTTTACAACTGATTAATCGCTAGGTAATAATCAACGTTTTTTTATCTAATTCTTTAATGTTGATCACATTCCACCAATCAAGTTATTACAGTTACCTCCAATTAGCCAACACCTCGACATAGTACACATATAGACTAATAGAATTCAATGAACATCATGAGTCAGTTGATGCTAGACCACCATGAAAAACCTGAAAGCACTGAACGACCATTTCATCCTATTGTGGGACTAAAAGAGTAGACAAATATGATATCAATCATTTTGATGAAGTTTTTTTCTGAGATGGATGGTTTGGTCGTGAATGAAAGCTCCACGACCAAGCCATCCAGCACAGAGAACAAAACTCTATTAAAATCATCCACCTGACCTACAAATCTTCTCCACCATCTCATGATCTCAATCATGAATCAATTACCAATTAAATTTTAAGTTAATAATATTACCCAAGTAACTATTTCGCTATTCAATTGAGTTAGTTAGTTACTTCAGCAAATCATCAGATAACAATAACAGATAGTTTTTTTCTCTTTTTTTTTGGTCAAAAAATAAATAAATAAAACTTTAACTGGATATAAACTATTGGATTTTATGTGACATTTTAATGTCCATTATCAGGATTATTTGTTGATTGTTTCCTAGCTATGAGACTATAATTGATCATACATTCTACTGATTGGTGATAAATAAATACTGTTAGTTATATTCTATAAAATTTGTTTAATATCAATGAATTGGTATCTGGGTATGAATAGACAACCGTCTCTCTCTCTCTCTCTGTGTGTGTGTGTGTGCGTGTGTGTGGTTTATCAATGT